GAATGCACATTACAGTGTAAATATATGCCCAATCGATACTCTGTGATTTAAAGATCCCCTCCAGACATGTATTAAGACATATACAATTAGTCTGCTTTGAACAATAATCAGCAGATCAATGTGAAAACGGTCCGTGTATGTTTTGGTCATTGGATTTTCCTTTCAGAAACGGGTATTAAAAAACAGAAAACGAGTGCTTATTTGATTTTCGTTTTAAAATACAAAAATTAAAATTGAAATACAAGGCGTTTTTTTTTCATGGTCAGAAAGGGATGAGCGAAATTTAAAAATTATTCGATTTTCATTTTCTATTTCATATAACAAAAATAAAATCACTAGAAAACAGAAACAGAAAAAGGCCTGTTGTTTCATATTCTGAGACCGGATGTTGTCATTTACAGGACGGTGCTGTGTAGAAGAAACAGTAGGCTAGTAGACTGCGGTCAATCCAGCCGTGAGTCCGATCTCCGTGGTCAAATCAGCCGCACTTAAATTTAGAGTGTACAAGTATTCTCAGCATTATGGTAAATGCAGAGAAACAGCGTATTTACTTCTGGTTTTCAAAATAAAGGTATTTAGAACAGTAAGCTATAATTAAAATATGTTACGTTAAAGTCTTGTGCCCTGATGAATAAAAAAACTTTATATCAAGTATCTTTACTGCACCAGTGTGGAGAAATGCCAAAATAAAAGTCTCATATTTATGCCTCAGAGATTGCATATTTGACCATATTTGAGGTACTGTAAAAACATATTACTCGTGTTTCCTGGCTACTGATGGTATATTTGACTTTTACACATATGAGAGTACAAACATACTTAATATCAAGCATTTTTACTGTACCAATTTGGAGAAATTGAAGAATAAAAGTCCCATATTTATACTTCCAGATTCCATATTTTTTATATTTTTGAGCTACTGTAAAACATATTGCTCAATATTTCCAGGCTATGGGTGAAGCATTTTCATTATACTTCAATAATGCTGCAGTATTCATGACAAAATTTCACACAAATGTTTAACATCTTGATAATATAAACACTAAACACTAAACACAAAATCCTACACAATTCTAATTTGTTTACTTTTCACACAAAATGCCAGTCCACATTCTTCTTATTTTGCTGCTTGCTGTGTCCATTTGTAGGTAAAAGGGAAAAAGAATTAGTTTTAACTTCAAAACACCATTGTACCTACTGTCTCTTCCTCACATATTATTTTTTATATTATTCAGTGTGACAGCTGTTGCAGGTGGTTCCACATACAGTTTTTTTTTTACAGTAGCTCAAATATAAGAAAATATGGAATCTGGAAGTATAAATATGGGACTTTTATTCTTCAATTTCTCCAAATTGGTACAGTAAAAATGCTTGATATTAAGTATGTTTGTAGTCTCATATGTGTAAAAGTCAAATACACCATCAGTAGCCGGAAACACTGAGTAATATGTTTTTACAGTACCTCAAATATGGTCAAATATGCAATCTCTGGAGGCATAAATATGAGACTTTTATTTTGGCATTTCTCCACACTGGTGCAGTAAAGATACTTGATATAAAGTTTTTTTATTCATCAGGGGCACAAGACTTTAACGTAACATATTTTAATTATAGCTTACTGTTCTAAATACCTTTATTTTGAAAACCAGAAGTAAATACGCTGTTTCTCCGCATTTACCATAATGCTGAGAATACTTGTACACTGGACATTTAGGTGCGGCTGATTTGACCACGGAGATAGGACTCACGGCTGGATTGACCGCAGTCTACTAGCCTACTGTTTCTTCTACACAGCACCGTCCTGTAAATGACAACATCCGGTCTCAGAATATGAAACAACAGGCCTTTTTTCTGTTTCTGTTTTCTAGTGATTTTATTTTTGTTATATGAAATAGAAAATGAAAATCGAATAATTTTTTAAAGTTCGCTCATCCCTTTTTGACCATCAAAAGAAAACGCCTTGTATTTCAATTTTAATTTTTGTATTTTAAAACGAAAATCAAATAAGCACTCGTTTTCTGTTTTTTAATATCCGTTTCTGAAAGGAAAATCCAATGACCAAAACATACACGGACCGAAAACATTCTTCTAGTGTCTGGTGTCTCTGCACATACATCATTCTGCACAGTGAAGCTCAAACATCCAACTGTAGGAACGAGAGATACTGAGTTTTGAGCCAAGGGGGACTTTTAACATTTTACAAGAGGGGGCAGGCTGCTGCAAAATACAAGCAAATTATAATAAATCAATAGGATTATGTCTGAAAACCATTCCTTTCCACTATCGTATTCTGTGTTTCCACACCTTATCCCCTCCAGAAGCCTTTACCTCCACCTGCTTCCAACCGTTCCTCTCAGTCCAGGAGAAGATTGCTGGGCAAACAGCCGCAGGTGCAGCCGGGAGCTCAGCGAGGCAGAGACAACAAAGCCAGATCTGTGGAGGAACATCAAGCATCAGGAAGACTGTCAACACCAGCAGCTGATAGCTGCGAAAGGAGGGGAAACAGACGTCTGCAAACAGACACAGATATCAGTGCCAGCACAGCTAGAGAAAAGTGTGGAGGCTGTTTGTTATGCTGCTGCCATGCTGGATGGCAGGAAGACACTTCTGCCGCTGTTGTAACCAATCAGAGAGCCTGCTGTGGCGGTAATCTGATCAAATAAATTAGTTCACCTTATTATTATTATTGAACAGGACTCTAGAATTAGCACCAACTGGGACCAGAGGGCATTAGACACTGTATGAGGACCCATCATAGGTTTCTGGTCCAGCTGAGGCCTGAAAACACAATCCAATTAAGGTTTATCTGTAGCAGGAAAATTCATAAAACACATACTAACGAAGGGCTTTATAATATAAAACTAATTAAAGATCCCCTCCAGTCATGTTTAGGACATATAAAATGAATGTGCTTTGAATTCTATTTAACATTTATTAGATTTTTATTTGACTGATCCACAACAAAAAAATCAATAAACTACTTACAAATTCTTAAAAGCACATCTACTCTTTCTCCCTCTTTGAAAACTCCAGAATATCTCAATATGCAAATGTGTCTCATTTCAACATTTAAATGCTAAATGCAAGAGGTTTTCATACTGCAGTGAGGAGTCCATTCTGAGAATATGTAATGTGGAAGATTGAAGTTTCTCCTTCAGCAGACCTTTAATGTCTGCACACGCATTATCGTGCGCAGTGAAGGTCCAGAAGGAACTATAAGAAAAACATATCTCTGAACGGAGGGGGACTTTAAATTCGCCTTATATGCTGAACATCGAAGGAACAACATTATGATGCAAACACTCTGCTGTCCTCTAGTGCCCAACCTACTACCTGCACTGTAACATCAGATGCAAACACTATTTCCCTGCAACAGTCTGCAGAATATCAAGAAACATGGCAAAGAGTGGGTTTATTATTTGATTATTTATATAGAAAAGCAGATGAAAATAGTCAAGTAAAGCTTGTAGACAGTCCCATGGGATGAGTAAAATAGTGTTCTACCTCCTTACTCCCGACATAACAAGTTGACATAAGCTTTGGTTGGAAGTGCTTTGTTGTCATGCCTACAGAATGTAAATCAGATGACAAAAGCATGACAAGACCAGCTTGGATGCACAGCGCTGGAGATAAACAGACACTTTCAATGCAGCAGACTGGTACTTTGAACTCCTCGCCCACCTGAGTTACTGTTCTCAGTAGTGTGAGCAATTCTACGGAGATGATAGAGGGGACAAAAATACATAGAACCTTGTGTGGGAATCCACGTCACATCAGTTTAACATGATTGAAGTGCTCCCCAAACACAGGACAAAGCCCATCTAGAGAAAAACAGACATGTCATTACACAAACATAAATAATGTATATTGTATATCATATTGCCTGTCATACACAGCCTGTGAATGGCAAAGAAATTGTAATAGCCTTTATAAATATTGTATGTGCTGTAGACCGACCTGAGATTGATGTTTGACAATATCCGAGACACTCAAAATTACCAAGACAAGGACACTGCGATCGCACACCACTGGGCCAGCAACGGCACAAATATAACAACCTCTCAGATTATGCAGCAGATGATCTTATTTCACTGAGAAAGGTTGAGCACGTAGCTGTAGTACCCAATAATCCCAATTAAATCTCAAATCTGACTGAGGCAAGCATCTCAGACTATAGACTTGAAAAAAATTACCAATACACCCATTACTGGGCCCTACTACTACAATGATAGTCAACATCAATGCACCACAGGTTCAGATATCCTGACCTTTGGCCCCTACTATGAAGTTGAGCTCCCAAAAAATCCTGAATCCTACACTTCCCACAATGCAACTAAAGTGTCCTTTGAAATCCTTTAAGTATTTGAATCTCACTTTAAGTTAGTTTTTATATATATCTACCAAATATTAATTTGTTAAGTTAATATGATGCTAGTGCTCATGACTTTTATAAAAAAAAAAAGTATATGGTTGAAACCCAGATCTCCAACCACATACAAAAAAGAATAGATATACTCTCTTACCAAATGCAACTATTATTTTGTATGCACACAAATGATAACATTTAAATAAGCCTGCCTAGTAAATCTTTGGAGGGCTCCCTCCTGAGCCAAAGAAGACAAGACCCTTTAAGGCAGTCTGGAATTAACAGATAGATACAGTGTATTTAATAATTGTTTTAATCTGCAGTAGTAGGCTTGCATTATTTTAATCTACAGAAAATGCCCCAGCAGCAGTTAATTTACAGTAAACAACAGAACCGCAGGGATAAAATATCAGGTCAGTTCTGTAATACACATCCTGTTCTCAAAAGATATTAGCAACATAAACTGCTTCAGCAACAAATATGTAACAGATCAAATGGTTAATGACATTTTGAAAAGAGCTGGAGAGGTCAAATAAAATAAATAAATAAATAAATAAATAAAGAATATATATAGTAGGAATTATGTAAGAACTGAGAAAATAAAATTGGGTTAAAAATCCCACAAGACAAAACCTTGGTATCCCAAGCAGATTGACTTTATTTGTATCTTCCATGATAATTAATTGTCATCATCATCGCCAGGATCCCATCAGTTAACAGTGTTATTGCCACCAGCTCCATTACCTTCACTGTCATCATCCACTCAAATGAAATAATTACATTATCTTAAACAGGCCAGTGACAACAGCTATAATCTGGTGTGATATTGACAATCTCATTATCAGTTACATATTAATTAGCTTAAATACTGAGGACATTTTGCTTGACGGTGCTTGAACAGAAAGCCCATTCCTGGCTTTACACATCACTGTGTAAGACAATAATGCATTGTATGTGACATTATTGTTTTATACTCCATAGAGGCTGCATGTACATAACAACTACATTGTGGTAACAATTTCATTTGTTCGACAGCTCACAAGTAATCCAGCAGCATTAAATATTTAGCAAGAAAAGTAAATGAGTATCCTGAAACGTGATCATCTCGTCTGAGGTTAGAAGTGAGAGAGCAGGGGGGGCGGGGCTTTTACTGCATTGACAAGCTTTAATTATCGCTTTATTGTCCAATGATGATACTTAACTAACAATCAGGTGACACGGTGCATATTTAATCAAGGTGTTACTGCATCTCTTACACTAATCATGACCACATTTTTAACTACAATCTGACCCTCATCATGAAATTAACACTGACCCAGACACTGATTATAACTGACACTAATGCACTGCCTTAAGCTGTGATTATCAGCATTTGAGTTTTTACATACATGGTGCTGTTTTCTATTGTCTTTTGTGCCCAGTTCAGGACAATAGACCACTGCTTAAAAGTGGTGTCTACACACACATTCATTATTCCAGTGCAAAAAGGCTCAGTACAGGTATAGTACAGTTTTTGCACAATGGAAAATTGCTATTTATCATTATTAAAAGAGCAGAAAAAAATGTGTGGGTAATAATAGACAGTAATCTTGGCTGTTGTTTTTAGTTCTGAGGGAGACTTATATAATGCACACAAATTCACATTAAAGTGTCTGAGGTCAGAGGTCAAAAGAATACCCTGAATTCTGTTTTTGGTTAAATTTATGGTCTTTGGAAATTGCAGTTTGGCTATTTGGATAGTCCAATGTCAATAGTGCTACAATAACTGTGCGTGAAACATCGTCAATGCATCACAGATTTCTATTCGTTACCCGATAGTTTGTAGTATCCACATTAGACTAACCAAGTGTTTTTTGAAAATGAAAACTGAAAATGCAGCTGGAATTCATGTGATTTCAAGTCAAACCAATTCTAAACATGTTTTTTTACAGTGTTTGACAAACTTGTTATGACTACTCGACTCACCCCATGACCACAAGAGAAACAGTAACAGTATTGACAACAATACATCGGTCATAATTGCTAGAGCATTTTATAAGATAGTCAAGTGATGATGCTGATAAAGAGGTGGAAAACAAATAAAATGCATGTGGTAACTTTGGGCACGACAAAAAACAGATGTGCATTTTGGAGTGGTCTTAACGTTGATCACAAACCAAACCACCTTCCTCTCTTGTTTTATTCGTAGTTTGTCATATAGAGCAACACAGCCAGACAATGAATTACGCAGTGGAAATGGAGGCTCAGTCACAAATTGCCTTTATCCAGCAGTGCTGTCAATTCAATGACTGAAGCTCCCATTGCTTGTGGTTATAAGTTCAGAAAGCTGCTTACAACACATACAAGTCCGGCCACAAAGCAGGGATATGGGCGATATTGCTTCGAGACACATTCAGTCACAGTAAAAGTCAAAATAATACGATCAGTGGAGGCTTAGAAGATAAATGCACAATCACGTAGGACTGCGCTGCTCTCTGCAGGTTTAAACCTCCAGGTTGGTTGCATCTCTGCCCAGTGATGTCATAGCAGGTGCTTTCTATCAGCTGCCAAAGACAAATGAAATGGTTTGACATCACTGACTGGGGTGTGTGAAGATGTGGAATGTGGGAACGTCTCAGCCCACAGAGAGCAGAACAGCAGCTGTTTTCTACCCTGTCTGATTCACTGATGGTTTACCCTTTAAATACAGAACCACACGTTGCTGTGTTGTCACGATATATAAGGCTTTGCTGCCACCTAGTGGACAAAAACCCAGTTTGCCAGGTTTAACCAAACATACCGCAATGTATTATACACATTCTGGGTGGATTTAGACATGAGCTACACCTCAGTCATCCAGTCAATGTACAAATCGTTTACATTTTTGTAACAAACGAAATTGTGCATTTTGCCAATCAAGATCACTTGATGAGTATCTATTATTTTTGCTCCTGAGTAAATCCACCCTTTTGTCATTTTATGTAAATGTTTGGTGCTCTAGCACAGGTCATACTACTGCCCATTGTGTGGGCTTTCAGCCACTTGTACCAGCTGCTAATGTGTATGTGCATGTGTGTAAGCACAGGCCTTTTCTTTTCTTTTTTTGCTTTGGCATGTTAATGGATTTTTATGTGTGAAAGAGAGCTTGTGTTGACACAGGAATGCAGCATTAACTGAAATCCTGAGCAAAAAAGTTGGCAACGTCGGACACAAAGGCAACATAGCAGGACAGTTCGATGCTTTCAGTGTGTGTGTATGTGTGTTTGTGTTAAAACTCTGCATGTGTGGGGCTGTTATGGGTATTGGATTTATGTCACACTAGTCTAAAATAAGCTGTTATAATGGCTGCTTTACTGCTGTGACTAAACATGCAAGCACGCATGAGTGTGTGTGTTTGTGTAAGACATCATGGGCACAAAGTTCTCTTGGCACACCTGAAGCGGCTGAGGACACACTTTTGACACACTCTGAGATAATAAAACACCGTATAAATATCCAGTCGCAACACATGAGTGATATACACTTGTCTGTTTTAAATAAATAAATAAATAAATAAATAAGGACTTGCAAGCAAGTATAACTGGGTCTAAGCACCCTACACATTTCAGAGCCAGAGGCTTACCAACCAGAGCTCATTGGGAAACAAAGAGCATTTGTCCTCTTTACAAAAATAAAAAAATGAAATAAAAAAACAAAACTAAGATATGAGAAATTTCTAAAGCTTACAAAGGCATTTGGATTTTAGACATCACTTAAACAACCTGAAATAATGTCTACTCAAGTATGCAGATGATATAAAAGTAGCAAATTACAGACTGAATTGTATTTTCTTGTTCTGCCACTTTTGGTGGCAAAGTATTTAGATAGAAATGTAAAAGCAGTCAGATTTTAAATTGGAGATCACTACTTGTGATTTCCAATTCGTGTGGCTAACTAGCTACATGAACAAAATGACAGAACCTTCCAAGCCACGGTATTACAATGAGACAAAATAACAAACTGAATGATTGGGAGTTAGTGTAAGCAACATGTTGCAATGAAATCAAAGTGTGGTCAGTGCTTTTTAGTGCTTCTTTTTGTTAAGGGACATTAATGGAGACACTTTTATCCACAAGTCAAGAGACTGAGATAATGATAAATAGCTGTAAAAATAATTGTCTTTTAATCTCACATTTTCACTCTTTCTTCCCTCCTGTGGCTGTTTAAGCGAGTCTTTGCTTTTTTCCAGATCTCCAGTCACATAGAAACACTTGTTTATTTCCTCTGTCGGTTTTCTTCCATTAATTACTATGTCCATTAGTTTCCTTGTGCCCAGTTCAGCTTGATGTCCCCCAAAGCTACCGAAGGTCCGTGAACCAGAATCACCGTGTGTGAATGTGTGTCAGTGTGTGCGTGTGTGTGTCCTGTACACCAAACCAGGTCAACACTCATGCTCTACTTTATCTTTCCAGAAAGTTTCATTGAAAGAGCGTTCCCTGCTGCTGAATCCAGGTTGGATGTTTGTTGTTACAGTATCTGTGTGGCTGAGCATATGTTCATTAATGTGTCCATTATCTCCATCATTTCTAAAGTGGATCAAGCATCATTTTTGCTCTATTTTCAGGAAACCCCTCGAGTAAGAGATTTCTCTCCATCTTTTTGTGTGCTTTTCATTGTCACGTCCGAAGTAAGCAGATAGAGAACGAGGGAGACCCTTCCAACATCACAAAGTGGCTGAAGTGACCTTTGAAGGGCACTATGCAGGGAAGGTTGAGAAATGTTCATCTAACTACTCTAACTGCTTCTTGCTACTGTAGCAGGTTTAGTGTGCTTTGTAAAATATATGCATCAAAGCACTGATGGTCGTGTTGTCTGTGCCAATTGCCTCTCCTTGGACTGACCAAAACATACTAACTCAAAAGTAGGACAGAGTTAATCCCCATGGAGTCCTGCCTGTGACCTTGTCTACATGTATCTAAATTTCTGTTGATTGACCATGGATCACTGTTTTTTTGGCGATGGCTGACATATTTGCTACATAGCTTTTAGTAGCTGTTATTGAGTCACATGCATCTCTATGCCAGCTAACTTTTACACATTTAATAGTGAGGCGATGTTTCAGAGAGCACTGTTACTTATTTGCAGGTGATTCTTCAAGAGGAGGAGGTAGCAGCGTGGCACGATCTGGCCAAAATTAATCTATCACAGGGCTGGACGTTATTGATTATTATGATCATATTGTGGGTTTTATTTTAATATTGTAATTTTGTTGTCTGCACTAAAAATATGAAGCAATCAAAAGTCTGATTTCTTCTTTTTTTTATTATGAAAATACCAGCTGAGCTTGAGAGCTCAAGTTTTACTTCTCATGCAGTCCAATATTATGGACATAAATGAGATAAAGAGGTGATTTTCTTCATGCCTAAACACATACAGTAGTGTGATATATAGTATACTGATATTGGAGGATGGTTTACTGGTTATTGTAAAATTTTTCTTCATATTGCACAAGCCTACCTTTGGGTACAAACATTTCAACTAGAGCGCAACTACACAGGCATAACTGGTGGAAATTAGCCAAACATTTTACTCTTACTGTGTGTGAAAATCAATATCTTTAAAATGCAATTGTGTCTACATCTTTCGCTTCTCTACGCACTGGGTAAACTCAATGATCAAAGTGCCCGCATCATCTGTTCAAATCTCATTCTGTGTCTTTGAAAATACACAGACATAAAATAGCGAGGTCATCAAAAACTTCACATAAGTGGGAAATATCTGGTTTATAAAATCTGATCCTAGAGGAGAAAACTCCGCCTAGCGGAGATGTGATATGTGGAGTGAGCTGAGATGAAATCTGATCTAAGCATTTGCAGAAGCAGAGAGCAGTGTATCACATAACCACCACTTTAAAAAGGAGGAAGGGGAGGAGCAGAGGAGAGAAGATGGCAGAGGGAAAGAGGAGGGGAAGTTGATGATGGATGCAGTGAATCTATTTTGGTACAACACCCTCTCCCTTCACAAATATCGGTGTTTATAAAAGGCGATAAATGTGTTGCTCAGAACCTTTAACTCACAGCTTTCAGTGCAGAGAGGGGTGAGGAAGGATGAATGAGTACCAAAGAGGTGACAAAATGGAGGGAGGAGAGCAGAAAGAGGAAAGAGGAGCAGGGTAGAGATGCGATTGAACCTCTGTTTATGGATGTTTTTTTTTCTATCAAGCTCCATATCAGTAATGGATAGAGTAGTGGGGGAGCTAATGGAGGAGTGAGGAGTAAGACGGCATGGGGAGACAGGGAGGAAATCAATGGTTCTCCTCTTTTATTGTACTGTTACGGCTGTTAGTGAGATGCTATGTGAAGCTGTATAGTAAATCTTAAAAGACCTGAGAAACACCTACTTTATCATAGGGACCTGTTACTGGGGGGACTATCTGAATGTTACGATTACATTTAAGGTCGGGATTGCTGCTCAGAGGGTGTTTTGTCGGGGATATTGTTTTTCTCCTCCTCTTGAGTTGATCGTTTTTGATCATTCTGTTTTGTGTCTTTTAAGAATCTGCATGAGTATTGTGTCCAGTTTGTATTCTACTTCTGTTTTTCTATTGTTGCTGTGCTGCACTACAAAACTCTTGGATTCCTTTCTTTTACATTTTACCTGGCCAGAAACACATCATTGTTTCCCTCCCCATACTTCCCTACATTGTAGTTTGTAATCCTTTGTGATCCCCTCTGTTGTTTAGGAATTATTTCAACTTTCTGCATTGCATTCTTTAAATAAGCCATATTCTTTGTCCGATACTAACTATTTTGATGTTTAGCAAAACCGAAGCTTTAAGCAGTCAAAATACCCTTTGAAAAAAATACCCAATATCACTCGGCTGGTTTGGAGTCTCTGCACTGCTCTCCAACCTGTTATTTTTAGACTTTGTACACATCCCACTCCTCTTCTTGCATAGATATATCTGGAAATCCACATTCCAAGATTTTCAGTCTTTTTGTTCTTCCCATGTATCTAATCTGTCCCCATCTCTCTCACAATCTCAGTGTAGCGAAGTCTAGGATTGGAGCGATTTTCTTGCCGTCACTCATATTCTCAGACTCCATATTATCTTGCTGCTGCTCTCCCCATCAGCTCTCATCTCCTTCCAAACCAGTGTGTTTCCTGCCTTATTACAGAATACATTCTTTTTTTCCCTTTCAAATCTATTCTCTCCATCGCCACCTCTCCTTTTCCCCTCTTTCTTGGCTAAATCTATCTTCCAGACAGCTGTTCTTACCGCTCATGTTTTGTTTTGACTGAATCATTTCATATCTCATTATCCCTCATCCACTTCTCCTCGATCCACTCTTTTCTTTCTGTTCAGTGCGTTTTTTTAATCTCCCTCGGCCTCTGCCCATACTTTCTTGCTCTTGATGTGTTTATTTTTCTGATCGTCACATGTCGTCTCCAGCGTGGCAGCTCTCCTCTCCGTGTATAATGAGGACGGGAAAGAAGAATGCGTCCTGGTAGGATGGGGGGCGGTCCCTCCCTCCCCCGTCACCCTCCCTCACCTCGCCTCCCCCTGCACTGTCTTGCTCCACTTCTTCATCCCTCTCGCGGCCTCCTCTTCCTCTGTCTTCCCTTCTCCTCACCTCCTCCTCCTGCTCCTCTTCCTCGTCGTCATCATCCCCTTCTCCTTCTAGCACACCTCTGGTCTCCTCGTTGTCCTGTCTCGACCCTAACCCAAGGAATCCACCTCCTCCTCCACTACCTCCCCCACCTCCGCCTCCTCCTTCTTCCCTACTTCCTCCCAGGCCTCCTCCCATGCTTCTTGAATGAAACAGGCTGTTCTGGCGCCCCCCTCCGAGTCTCCCTAGAGAGAATCCACTCCGACTGAGAACCAACCTTCCTCCTATACCCCCACTTCCCTGCCCTGCTGCCCTGATACCTGCCACGGTAGCGTTCAGGAGGGCTGTGGTTCCCATCGGGGCCCTTAGCCTGGAAGGAAGACTGGAACTCGACGTGGTCCTCCGACATCTGGGACAGCTTTGGAGGAGGTAAGCTGAGTTGAACACCACAGGCAGAGCTAGAGGAGGGGGGTTGGTCCCCTGGCTGGGGGTGGTGCATGGAGGCCCAGAGATGGGCGTAGAGGCGGTAGGGTTTGACCCCCCACTTGTGTCCATGTCCATAAGGAGCGCTTCAGAGTAGCTTGGCACCATCTGTTGGTTACAGCGGATGTGCCACTCCAATTCTGTCATGTCCACTGTGTTGACCCGAGAGATGGCTCTGTAACTTGTCCCATTTAGACCAATTCCAATCCCAATTCCCCCTGGGTGGATTCCATTCTCAGTCCCTCCATCAACCCCATCCCCTCTTCCACCCGGCCCTCCTCCACCACCTCCTCCACCACCATCCTCGTCCTCCCCAAACAGCTTCTCCACGTGGTAGTGGACATACGCTGTGCGATATTCTGACACAACCCGCAGTGGCCACGACAGGAGGAAAGCAGACGCCAGCCAGAACACCCTGTGCCTAGAAAACCACGGCTGGTGAGTAGGATCTGGGAACGCCAGGATGTGTTCACGGAAATCCACGTTCTTCAGGTGCATCCCTTCTCTGGCCTCCATGTAGTCGTCAAGCCCCTCGTTCTCCCCAAAGAAGCGTGCTCGCTTGGAATAAGATTTAAAACACAGAACACATTTACACATTTATTTAAGAATTAGCACCAAACAAAGCAGCATTTCCGAGGCCAAGGAGCATATCTTTCATCTACATTAGTTTGTGGAGTCACAGTTAATTTAAAAAAAACATTAAAAAGAAAAAAAGGATGTCCAGTGTGTTTTATTTCCCCCAGGGGGGAAACCGGATGTGACGGAGTAATGGTGTTTCTTTATTTCCTTGTCTATATGGTTCATCAGCTGCCCTCCATCAAGTATATATTTAAGGACCTTTTCACAGAGTTCCCATAAAAAACTAGTATCAGTAAACATCACAATGTCAGCTGGAGACAGCATTTTCAACAAGATCATGGAGCTAACTTTGGATTAGCTAGCTAGCTACAGCTCAGACTGCCAGTGACAGTTATCATTTCAGACGGCAAACCCAATGGTCGCTGGCTAGAAAGAAGTAGCCTGCTTTTGTCTCTCTAAAACCAAGTACAGACTGCTTAAAGAAATCTGATCTTAAATCTGCCATTGTTATCATTGTGCATCATTCTGCATATGTGAGTGAGTTGAAAGCTCTACAGGCGTAGGGTCTGTAACTATGGGCGGCAGGGATTAGGGAACAATTTTATAGATTACAATGAAATGACTGGATAAAAATCATTAGTTGCAGCCCTCATAAGAATATAATAATTAATATAATATATTATATATATATATATATATATATATATATATATATATATATATAGTGTTTTTTTTAAATCACATCTTACCTGGGTGAGGTAGGCAGCTTCAGCACGTGCACTGGAGAAACTAAAGAGTAGAAAAATTTGAAAAATGAGTAAAACGTTTTACCCCCCACAATAATAATGTTAAAATAACTTCCCCACCATGTTGTGGGCAGTGGTTTGGTGTCTAACCTGAAACACTTGGTGAATCGCAAGCGAACAGCAGGGTGCAGTTGCAGGTCCAGCAGCTCCTTTGATACGTCTTTCACCCCATAGCGGGCGTAGTCAAACTCTGAACTGGAGGCGTGAGTGTTCACCCGCTCGTGGTAGACCTGAGGAAGGAAGGAGCAGGGCATAGATGGAGGGAAAGAGTTTCATGGAGGAGGATGGACAACAGATGGAAAGTTTGAGAAAGGAAGAATGAGGTTATTGGGAAGACATTTTAACCTTCATATATGTTTCAGCATCAATAAAGCATGGTTACTAAATAGAATTATATTTTTCTTACTGCACACAGCTGTTTGCACACAGCCCCGCAATATTTCACTATAGGAGAAATTAAGATGTGCATAGCAGTTATTTTTAAAGTTTACGAAATTAAAACGTAAGTTTTACAGTGTAGCTATTAACAGTATAAAAAGAAACGAGTGAACGAGAGAAATCATTAGTATGTGTGTTAGGAAGAGGTCCCCTCACCTGTGTGGTGGTATATGCATCTCCGTTGCGGTATCTTGTCACTTGTCTGGTCCTCCTCACGTAGTGATAGCTGATGGCCTTCCACCAAATGCAAGGTGTGGCCTGCTGAAGTCTCTGCACACGCTCGTACACTTCCTGTGTCAAAGAATGAAGGAATAATCAGTTAATTAATGTCACAATTAAATTAAGTCTAAAACTGAGTTTGATTTTGGAAACATTTCCCCTAAACAAACCTGCTAAAAATGAGAATGAAAACAAAAACGAACAATCTAAAATATAAAGCTGCAGCACTGCCTGAGCAGTTCTTGCAATGGCAGTATCAGCATAAACAATTAAGTTCCTATTGTTTGTGTACAGCATAGTTAAGTCTGTGAAATCTGGTGCAAGTCAGGCCCAGCCATGGTTGTTCATGTTGTTATGATTTGTTTTTGTATTCCCTGTTTAGAGCTGTCTTAATCATAGGATATGTGCCCCCTGACAGTCTGGACTAATGTAAAATATATTTTGTTTTTGGCCACGGCAGATAGCTGAGATGAACAGTAAGCACTTGGAGCAATGTGCTCCTGCTATTCATGATAATAGGCAGAGTAGAATACACAAGAGATAGACGGATGCCCCCAGGTCAACTTATTTCCATATGACTGGCCAAGTATTTTTCCCCGTATTTTTCCCCACACTCAGGTAGGATACTGAGAGTAAAACAATGTTCTCTCCTTGTGAAACGTTAACATTTCTGACAAAACTTCTCCTGAACAGCAACTGGGTATGCAGACATTCACTACAGCATCATTTTATTTATTTTAGACATTTTGCTGAACAAGACATTAACACTGAACCAGTTTCAGTGAGTAAACAGATTCTGCTGTGTAGCTCAAGGTCATAGACCTATTGCTCGACTCCTCCTGCAGCAGCAGACTTCAGTCTGTTGGGTGTCAGGTTTAGATGGTTTTTCAAGCTATTAGACCCTCCTTACTCAATGCTAAATACAATGCAAAAACTAGTTTTCATACCTGGAATTCAGCATGGGCCAACATTGCCGTCTTGGAGAAACAGTGCCAACACTCCACCAAGTAAACCACATACAGCATTGCCAGGAAGGCCAGGGGGATGTAGACGTAGCCACTAGAGCACGGACTCTCCAAGTGCAAGATGTCATTATAGTAGGCCGCCGAGGTGGCGTCGTCGTCAGAACCAATAGGTATGGAGGAGGAGCCGAGAACGGGTACACGACAGAGAGCGCACCAGGCGAGCGTGGCAAAGCAGCCGTACATGAGGAGGGTCAGGAGGAGGCACTTCCAGTGGGACTCCCGACACAGGGAGGAGGCCAGAGACTGCTGGACTGGCCTTTGCTGTGGGGACACAGAGTGATGAGAGATTAGATGTTAAGATGCTGCTGGAAGGAATTATGCAAAGTCTGCACTACTTTTCTGCATTGAAAAAGTAATAAATACACTACCCTTGAGAAAGTTTTAAAGGGACACTCCATCAAATGTCCTGAGAGTCAATCTGCTAGTCATGGGAAGTATTATGAGTATATTTTAACAGGAAGCCTGCAATACAAACTGAGGGGCATATAGGTTGAAAAATATGGGTAATTACCTTCCAGGGAGAGTCTAACAAAAAAAGCCACTGCATTGCTTTATGGGAATTGTAGGATCCAGTGCTTGACCCATACTACTAAAAGTGAGTGGATCTCAGTCTCTGCTACACCAATTTCAACCTTACATTTTAGACGTGCTAGCAGTGGCAATGTGGATCAGTCCACCACTTAAAGCAACCACTGGATGGACTGCCATAAGATTTTACACTGACGTCATGGTCCTAATGACTGGATGTGATCTCGTCTTTGCATTTCAGTGAAATGTCTCAACAACTATTGGTTGCATTGCCTTGAAATTTACAGATAATCAGCCTGCTAACATTGTCACTGTGAGCATGTTAGTATGCCGATGTTAGCATTTAGCTCAAAGCATCACTGCGCCTAAGTACAGCCTCACAGTGCTGCTAGCATGGCCGTATTCTCTTGTTTATTTGGTGTTCCCAACTTTATGGTCGTGCAATAGTATGTAACTTACTCTTTTAGTACATTGGTTAAGTCATTATTACTTAAAATGTCCCTTCCCATTAGAGTGTTAAGGCATGATTACATATCATTTAGTGCTTGGCTTTTGAGCTAACCCTATCCTATCCAATGGCTATAAGAGATGTTTAACATTTTTTACACGAACTTAGCAAACATTAGGACAATGAGCACTTTTACTTTAATGCTGATACTTTTAGTTAAGTAAGGTTTTGAATGTGGTCTTTACTGTAAAGAGTGGTTTTATTGGACCCCTGATATTACATACTTGTTAAATATTCACTTCTATTTCTATTGTACATTTTCAGCTATAGTAATCATTAGTAATGCAGTTTTGAAGTTCCCTGCTATTACATATTGTTAATATATAACATTTAAATAAGGGAAACCAACTAAAGGCTTTCCAAAGCTGTTTTGCTGTGATAAATGAAGCATAATCATTTGTCCATTAAGCAAATGTATATCGGTTCCAAATCTTGGTTATCAGTCTCCTTGATTACTAATAATCAACCATGAAAACATGTCGGTCCACCCCTATTAGCCACATATTTGGTGAAACCAGTCTGAGGTGAGCCAGTAGGTCTGACAAATTTCTATGTTCTCATGTTGACAGTAAAGATAGTGAATAATACAGTATGATTCACAATATTAATGTTTAATAATGTCTGACAGGTGAAATTGACTGCAGCTACAGTGGTAATGGAAAGAGTTTGTCAAGAAAGCAACACAGACCCCCCCTCCCCCCAGCCAGTTTTTAATAATTATAACCTTCCTGTTTGGTAAACAGTGTCGTATTTCAGAGCAAGTGTGTAAGTTGAGGTCTTGACCAAAGGAACCCATTACACCACCCCTTACCCATCATAGGTAAGTGCTACATACCCCCCCCACCACACACACACTATTTATGCCTCTCTCTAAGTGCACACTTTGGCACAGCCTGACTTGCACTGTGAAGACATCATATTACAGTGCACTCAAACACACACACACGCGCACACACACATTAGATGCAAAGACAAAGATGGTCTAATGTGCCCCTCTTCTCTCTCGTCCTCTCTCTCTAACCTAACCACGCACACGCTGACATGCACGTTGTCAGCGTTGTAATGCAGCCAGAGGAGAGTATGTGAATAATTTAGATGAGAACGATGCTTCTAGACTGTTCTCTAGCTAACTGACTCCACTCCGACATCAGCAGCATATCACTGCTGCTTCGATTTGTATGTGTGAATGAGGGAGGGAGGGATAGAGAGAAGTGAGAGATAGAGGGGTGGTGCCAAAAGAAAAATGGCTCATGTATGGTGTATGTCGTAGACACACAGAGAGGGAGTTAACGCACACCTGTATGGTTTCATGTGTGTTTCATGTCTTTATACTTGCATTGGCCCTCTCCATGCTGTTATCATCTGCCTCGTGCTGAATGCGACAAGGCAAAAGAGCAGCAAAGCAGATGACAAAAAAAAAGATGGGATGACACCAGTGTCCTCTCTTTCTCTCAGCCAAGTCTGCCTGTCCTGTCAGCACACCCCCCTCCTCCCTTCCCTCCCTCCTTCAATGCAGCCACAATTTGCTATCCACTTGCATATTTGGCTGGCTGCACTACGCACACACACACACACACACACACACACACACACACACACACACACACACACACACACACTCACACACTCACACACTCACTGCCTTGTACTACTGTACGTCAAGGGCAAGTAGTGAAAGGCAGAGTGAAGGGCACCTACACTCCCATCATTCACTCCATCATCTCTCAGCAAAAGCCCCCAAAAAAACATCCAACTGCACACCTAGGGATCCAACAATAGGTTAGATACTTTACTAAGAGATGGAAATTATCATTGGTGCCAGGTCAATATCATATTGTTTGCTCCCTGTCTGCCTTTTCTCTCCATATCCTCCTTCCTTTCCTTATGTAATCTTTCTTCTCCTTCCCTGAATCTTCCCTCCCACCCCCTAAGCATTTACTCTCCGATCTCTACTAAGTCTCTCCTCCCCTTCATCGTCCTCACCAGCATGTCTCCTCTGTTACATCCTCTCTGAAAGTCTGTCTCTAAGTGGATTGATTGGGCTAAAAGTGTAGTGTGGAGAGAGAGGGAGAGAGGGGATGAGGAGCGTGAGAGAGACAGAGAAATGGTCATGAACTTTTCATGAATGCGAGTATGAAAGGAAGGAAGCAAAATGGGGGGGGGGACTAAAGACGTGGCAGCAGCGACAGACTGCACCTCTCTCCAGGGAACTCCGCTGCCAAAATCCGTCCTTCTCATTCTCCTCCTGCCCTGCCTCTCTGTCTGTCTATCTCTCTCATTTTGTCTTGCTTGCTCTAATTCTCTCCTGTCCTTTCCCTCTTAGCTGCTGTGGATAAATGTTGCCAAAAAAAAAGAGAGAATTCTAGCAATAAATAAAATAATAACCTGCACGGCTGACATTTTCATCAAGTCTCTGCAGCTGGTGTGTGCCTAGCGAGAGGGTAATCAGCCCCAAGACAGGAGTCAAATTATTCCTGTATGCACTTGTACCAATCATTATTTGTGAGTATGAGCAGTTCTCCCTCCCACAGGTAAAGACCAGACAGAGAGGAGCTTTTTTCACAATTAACCGGAGGTTGAGTAATTACAGGCTTTTGCAACTACATGATCTTAGAAGCAGTGCTCATAAACTAGAGGGATTACAGATACCACACAAAGTTAAGTCCAGTGTAAACTGTTTTTTTGATGTAGAGTACTGGGAAATACAAGTGCTCTATCCAACATTAACTCTGTATGATGGTGGCTTATTATGGGACTTATATGAGATATTATATGAGACTGAGGGGCAGTTTTCATTATCACAATGCACACATACATAATGGTTTAGTACACAGCAGCTTGAGGTGGTTTATTCAACAGACTGAATCTCTTTTATGGATAAGAAGCAACTTGGATATAAAAGCTCCCATCAACACCTCCTTTGCCCATGTAAGTATTATTTTTAGAGATGAACTGGTTCAACTATTTTGCATCTCGATATCTCAACTCGGCGTATCTGCCAATACCAAGAACCGACCTGATACCAGTGGTCACTTTTTCCCCCCCAAGTTTCGTCACTGTGTGGAACTCCCTGGAATATTTATGTAAGGCCAAGGATTGCTGTTGTACTAAACACTTGTTTTCTTAATAATGGCACTGACATGTATTCACTGTGGATTGGTCATGTCATGGCCAATACCAAAACCGCTTAATAAGATCAGTATCGGCGCCAATTACAATCCAGCAATCTGTGGCCAGTCGAGCTTTGATCTGATGACAATTATGGGTGTAAGAAAATATCAATAGATTTTTATTTTGTTTGGTGATATTATAGCAATCAATCAAAAACACTGAACTGATTTCTAATTAGTAGTTTACGTGCAAAGATTTGTAGCAGTGGTTCATTTTTGGGTTGTGTTTACATCGCCAACTGCTAGAGCAGTGTTGTAAAAGTGTAGTCAGATTTTATGCATGTGGCATACTAAAATTAGATTTGAATTTTACTAAAATTAGATTTTTTAAAAAACACATTATATATAACCCCTGTATCGTGATATGTATCATATCAGCAGATTCTTCCGACAACACATCGTAATACAGGGGAATTGAGCTAGCGAACTAGTGACCAAAGGGGATGCGCTTTAGGCCGAATAAGTAGTTTTTGGTGAACACAACACCTCCTGGAGCAAAACTGGTGCAGTTTTTTTTTGGTTGTGTAATGATCCTCTTTCTGTTTCAGCTGCCTCTGCTGAGCTTGGCTCTTGTGTCGGGCTGTAACAGATCAAAGGCAAAGCTCACTCTCCTTGAAATCATTATAAAAAGAAATCCATATAGCCTAGTCTGAAAGGGTGTCAGCTTTCATTTTTTTCATACTGAAAGTTTGGGCCGCCCTCCTTGCAAGCTCTTTGAACAGGGTTGATACAGGGTGGTCCTTACATGACAAATTCTTTATTAATGTTTCATGAATTATTTCAATCCAGTGCCTTGCATAAAACACACATTGTTATCTAACAAAATGTTGCTGTACTGAAAATAATGATACTTTGGCATATTGTCTCTCCATTCTATATATATTCCTTAGCATCCACAGTCACAGGGGGGCAGCTGACTGAAGAAGAGCCCACATAGCTGACATGAAACCTGGACCACAGGCTGTTTGGTTTGGTTTTTTGGACGTGTATCACACAACTTTGTTTTTTAAGAAGCATTTCAGTGCATACTGTACTGTAGCTATTTCCTGTCTCTACCGAAACTGCATTTGACAGGCCTTTTTCATTAATAGGATTTGCTTCAGCCGGTAAATGTCTCTGAATTCAATCATTGTTCTATAATCTGGTTCTTGCTGTAATGTAGTAGTAGAACTGTGCAATTCTGACACATATTGTTACTGGTTCTTTGTAGTTATGTGTGCACAGGTCAAACCTGAATCTATCATAACTAATAGAAGCTAATGAGACAGTGACAGTGTTAAATTGAACATATATAGTTTATATAAGTAAAGCTTATGACATTCAAGATGATGGCACCTACAATAAGCATATAAGGAGCTTGGTGTTTTATCGTCCGTCTCATCTTACCTACACACAAACACACAGAAAATTACATTAGAAATATCTACAGTTGTGCACTGGGCGGATAAGAGTTTTTTTTTTTTTTTACAAATCCCTCCTTGTATTGAGGTGTCTAGTAGAACGTGTATTGCTCTCTCTCCCTCTGTGTCTCTGCTCATACTGATTCAGCTGGTTAGGTGTGACTGGAGCAGCTATAATTAGCAATCCTAGCATGTGGGTGGCAAATGAAGTGAGGAAGTGAGGGATGGAAAAAAGTGCTGTTGAAGCCTGCAGAGCACTGCTAAAAATGATGTGTCATTTCAACACAATTGTAGTGAGTTGTTTAGGATGTCAGGTTTCTACTACCTGTGCTGAAACAACAAATAAATGGTTAGCACTTGACAGGTTAGGAAATAAAATGTGTCACTGAGCACTCACTGTGATAAAAACATGATTCCTCAGTTTAGAGTGTGTTCAATTGAGACTAATTATCCATCAACAGCAATTATCAGCAGGTAACATGCAGGTCACCGGTTCTAAATGAAATATTACTGAAAGCAGCAGTCAGCATACATGGGAGCCTGAATTCATGCCAGTTACAGTTTTCAAAGTGGAAGAAAGTACAAAAGCATCCACACAAACCTCTCCAACCAACTCCTGCAGCACAATCTATTATTGTACTGTCCATCTGTATTAGTGCTTTCCAAACAGTCATTATTTTGTCAAGGTATGGCAAAAAAAGTGACTGGTAAGTCAATTTTCATATCTTATTTAAGTTTCATGACAGAAACAATAATAAGAGAGAGAAAAGAGCATATTCAGAGCTAAATTTAATACGTATGAGGAAATGAACCAAATCAATCAATCATACTGATGTTTAATGTTACTTTCAGGGATGTATCCATTTACACTGCAGCAGAAGTGCAATCTGATACCTTATTAGTGGCAGGTGGAAATGAGATTTAAGTTGAATGACACCTGTAAAGTGGAGTGATATATTGCAATATCCAAGTGTGAAATAACTGCTGTTCAATTAAATGCGCACTTTTTTTTTTACACAATATGCAAGGAGGAAAAAGATTACCAATAAGTGAAAACTGTTAATTTCAGTTCTAGCTTTGTATATTATTGGGATGTAGTGTGGTGTGTTTGGATGTATTCTCTTTAGGAAACCAGTGGTTTACAGAACACACTGACTGTTCTGTAACTTTCTGTGTAAACCGTTCTTGTATCACTCTGTCCTGTCTAGCAATTGCATTCTTATTTCTCTCATGAAACACAAATTCTTTATTAGTAAACGGCTGTTCTACACATTGTTGGGCAGCTTCACGATGGCAGCCAGGCTGCTGTTATTATTTTTTATGCCTCCACGCTGCATTTGATTCACATTAACAGTGTGTTTACTTTTGTGTGTCTGCTTGCCTTCAGTTTAGGTTTGAACCATTCTATAGAAAATCATAATTATTATTTCTCAATCAGAGTTGGGGTCTCGTTTTCTGTCAATAATTGGGGAAACCATTTTTGGTGATTTAAAGGACTATTTGGGAGTCCTGTTATAGAAGTGGCAAGTATCAGGTGTCAGGGATTTTTGGCATTTGTAGATAAAATATCTATCATACTGCATTTTGTTTTGATGCTATACAGTAAATAGTAGGCTGGAATGCTGAAACCATGGCAACAATTGCTGTCAAACCACTCTATAAGCTTTTGACTATCAACCTTGTCTTTAAAGGTTAAGTTTGGCAATATACTATATTTTTCTTACCAGGAGCAAATACCAATAAAAAGCCTACGTTAACAAACATAAGTCACAAATGAGTAAAATATTTTTTCCTCCGTGTGCCTGTGCAGTTGGCCATATGGTGGAACGTAGTAATGTTACTTGCTGATGATAAAGAAATTAGGATCACTTGGTCTGAAGTAACAGACACGCTAGAGTCATTGTCGTGTGAGCATCAGATTGCGTGCATCAAAAATAGGATTTTATTATTTATCATGTGGCTCTACTTCACCTGTGATGATGCTTGTGTGAGTGTGCATGCATTCCCATTTGCGCCAGAGAGTGAATAAAGTTAAGTGAGATAATGTTTGAGAGAGGAGAGAGGGGTTACGATGATGAAGCTATACACGCCATGACGGGCAAATCTAAAACAGGAAGCAGACCAAGAGGGGAAGATGAGAGAGAGTAATGGAGGCAGAGAACAGATGAAGACTGAATTCATTGCATTACACTGCACTGTCTGCACTGCAGGCATGGATAAAGAGAGAGAATGAAGTGACAGGCATCATTTAACAGGCTTAGTTACTCTACATATTATTGGCCTAGGGGTTTAAATTACCCTGAGCCAATTGCCAAATGCTTAATTCTGTCAATTTTATTAGCCATTTCTTGGTTAGAGTAGTCTTATATGTTATAAAGTTAATTAAGATAGAGAAGTCCTCTTACCACTTATAGTCGGTTAAAGAAAAATTGACTTTCATGCCTTGAAGCCACTCAGGCAAGCTGTTTAAAGCTCATTAGAGCTAAAACGATCAGTTGATTAATCGACTTTACAATCGACAGACAGAGAATCTGTGGCTGCCAGAATGAAATGCCTATGATTCGCTGCATGTTCAAATTTGTTGCTTTTTGTGGCTCAGGAAACCTGTCATGGGCATCTTCTGATATTTCATATACAAGAAATTCATCAAATAATCAAAACTAATGAGAACTGATTAAACGTCGATAAAAATAATAGTCGCAGTCGTATGGTTCACATTTAGAAGAAGTGAAGGTTCCTAGCCTACAGAACAGGTACACATTCTGTCTCACATGTCCAGTCAGTGTGTGACACCAACCCCACCTTTCTGCTCAAACTAACTAAGTAAACCCACTGGTATAACAATGCTAAATTCCTCCTTTACCGAGCAGTGTAGCTCTGTCCTTATATACAGTTACACCGCTTGCACACACAACTCTGCTCTTCTTCTAAGGCTATACACCGTCATCATGTTAAGTAGTGCAACTGGGAATGGAATACAGGATGGCCCACATCCTTATGGTTATTTTTTTTTCTGGCAAGTGACTTACGTAATGTTTTGTCATGCATAGCCTATTTCTCCAGGGTTTTTATTAAAAAGATGATGTGTTTGAATAAGTGATGCTGCTTCCCAACTATAATGAGAATGAAAGTAATAGGTGATGATGAATATATGTTTGAAGACCTGTGTTTGTGTGTGTGTGTGTGTGTGTGTGGGGGGGGGCACATTCATGGCTTCATACTGTAAGTGTATACGTGAACCTTTGAACATGATGCCATTTCCCTGAGTAAGGACTTTCACTCTAATGGTCCAGGAAGCGGAGAAGGACTTCAGAGGAGATGTAGTAGATGCATTGCTGGGAGGGTGTGTATGAGGAGAGTGATATCTGCTAAAGTCTGCCAAACATTAAATAAAAACACAGTGCTGCTGAGTGTTTATATCCCACTATTATAAACGGTAAATCACTGTAAAAAACGGTCTGGTGAAAATACATTTGTATACTGCTTGAGGGTGTTAATCTGTGTTCTCACCGTTTACATTACGTGTCAGAGTAATTTCGGCTAAAAATGTGTGTGTGTGTGTGTGTTTCTAAACTGTGATGTCACCCTCTAGTGTATTTCAGTGGTGTCAGCTGCTGGATGGACATACTCCACCATCCTGAAAAAGACTAAACCAGCTCTCCCAGGAGTAACACATCATACACACGTATCACATCAATACTGTGGCTTTATTTCTAGAGAGGCATTAAGAGTTCCCTCCCCCCTCTGCTTACCAAACCCCAGCCTGGTCTCCATTCATATTAAAGCCAAGGTCCTGTTCCGTGTCCTTGCTCTTGCGCAAGGCATGAAGGACTTGGGAGAAAAAAACGTGACTTCTTCGCGTCAACAACACCAGAGGCATTTTTTTGTCAATGAAAGCCCAGGAGTAGACACAGAACACGGCGCATGATGTAGAGATGAAGGGTTGTTTGGGAAAGACCAGCAATGACATGAAAACACAAAGTGGTTTTTGTAGGGGCCAAATATGCGCAACTTTACGCTAACTGGACTCTCTCTGTTTACGCAGAAACAACCGTTTCCTCACACAGGCACAACAAATATAGAAAATGTCCTTCCTTACCTGCTCTCGTCCTGACCCTTCCTCCAAAATGGGCTCTTCTGCGGTGGCCGTCTCCTCCTCCGTCTGCATTTTCCCCTCTTGCCACTCCTTCCTTCCTTAGAACCGGGCACAGGCAGCTCCCACCCCGGTAACGTCCGAAGGCAGGGACCTCCCCGGCGGAGCAGCGAGCTCGGTCACCCCATCCGCCGCAAGTCGGTATCCAATTTCACGATGGCGGGGCCTGCGGCAAACAAGCATCATCTGCTCCGGATGTCGGAAACCCCCCTCCCCGCTGCCTCCTTCCCGTATTCTTCTCCCGCTGACCCGCTCAGTGTTTGTCTTCTGCCCGCTCCATCCTTCGCCTCCTCTCCGGTCAAAAGCAAAATGTGACTAAGCAGCCAAAGTCAAAGCCCGTCGCACTCCCCGTCAAACCGTATCCGCTGCTTCTGCCTCTCTCGTGATGCTCTGCTGCCAGTGTGCGTGCGTGCACGTGTGCGCGCGCGTCCGACAGCGCAGGAGAGCCAACCCGAGCCAAGGATTTCGCGAGCTGCAGACTCACAAACGAAGAAAGACGCTCGCGAGCTCTACACCGCGCGTTGTGCTTGTGCGAGGAACGTGGAGGGTGAACAGGAGGCACCGAGAGCCGAACATGTCAGCGAGGGTTATTGTCATTATTCAACTTTGTTTTGCACCTTGCGTTGGGTCTCCGTTGACGTCATATAGCAACATCCCCACCCCCCATCTGTTCACCTGAGCACACGCACGAGCGCGAGGCTCCCCTGTAGAGACACGTGCACACTCAGCGGCACGTATCAAACTCCTGCCAAATTAAAATGGGACCAACTGGTCAAGATGTCTTGTTTGGCGTTTTTTAGGACACACATACAGCGAATATGTATACACAAAAGTATACAATTCAATTGCTACAATTATTTCAGTGTATTTCAGATTTTATTCAACCTTTGAAACAGAGGAAATTATTAAAATACATTAAAGTTTTTCCATTTTTGTGGAACAAAATAGAGGAATGTAGTGGGATGGTGATGGAATGAAGACTTGAATGATGTAAAATCTGATTGGAGGTTGGTGATGTATTCCTCACAGACTGGTGGTACAATTAGGGTGTCCTGAAATTTACAAACAAGAACTGGTTCAGAGATTGTGGCTGCTTTCTGTCCACATGTGACATTTCTCTTTATTGAAGATACTGACCCGTGCTTGCTGAAGGACCGGTCTGGAGTGTACCCGGTCGTCTGTGGGGCTGTGCAGCCCCTCTGTCCACCTGGTAGGCTGGAAGAAAGCTGACGGACCCTGGAGGCTTTTTTGGTGTGTGTACTTGTGTGATCCTTGAGCCAAATGTCATACAACCTCTGAGGAAGGATGGGTGGAATTATTTAAGGACCAACATGACTCTGTACAGACAAGACTGAGCCACCAGACTTGCTGAATCTGGAAATTTTAAAATGAATTCACTGTTTTCGTCCTCCTGTCAGTGCTGTGACTGATTTCAATAAAAACTTTTTCTAAATCAATGTAAAGACAATGCAAACAGGTTGAATACAAGCTCATTTGATTCTTAAAAACTATAAGTTATAAAGCAGAAAAATGTGAAATGGAAGGTGAATTTCTTGAGGTGTTGAAAGGATATTAGCAGTGACAGGCAGGTAAAGGATGTCCGTCTCTGTGTGGATGATGATATCCTGGGAGATGTACTTCTTTGGCTCTACCTCTCCTGCTTGGACTGCACTCATGGCAAACAGCTGAACCTGCAGTTCAACATGCAAACCTGCGGCCACCTACACAGACATTCAGTAAGGGCTGAGATGGTAACTTTTCCTAACCAAGTTCAAACGTATGGCTAGAAATATCACATACACAAACATGTATAAATCTGACACGTTAACTAATAAGAAAAGGGCTCATTCAAATATTCACATAAACATTTAATCATAACATCCTGCTGGAAACTTACAGGCCCGGGATTGTAGATGACTCTGAGGCCTGTAGCAGGAGGAGGCTGTTTCACGTGGAACCTTGCAGAGAGACAGATCGAAACAGACCACAAATAGTTACAGGTCAAAGTTTTCCCTTTGGACTTGAAGGTGACCCACAAATCGCCTGCACCTATCCAAAGCACTCGTTCTCACTCATCTGACACAATAAAGGCCGTTTAAAACCAGTTCAAAGGCTGATATTTCCAGGTTTTCGAAGCCTACATTTGCCCTTGAATCCATAATCTAGTGTTTTACCTGCAGGTGTCGACACCCACATTCTTCATTCTCACAGTAATGGTCGAGGAGGTGCCCTCCTGCAGCGTGCCAAAATCAACGCTGGCTGGGAGGAGCTGGAATCCCCTCACTATGGCACTTGGATCGGTCAGGGAAATAGTTCGACACTTCCTTCTCACCGGCTCTTCCACTGCCAGGAACTGGAATACGGGACACATGCAGAGTGGTGTGTGAATACACGTGTGAATGGTAACCTATATTTTTTTAAAATTGCATGATTATAGGCTGTCAGAGGAAAATGGGTCACATCACTGATCATGTGCTGCACAGCAGAAACAGATTTTTTTTAAGACATGTTCTACAGTGACATATTGCCACCTCTATGTCTCTTTAAGGATAATTTTCCTTTTTATTGACACTTTTAGCGCATATAGTAGATTAAAAGAGCCTGTTGGAGTAGGAAGTTAGAAGGTATATTACATATATATAATCCTTTGATTGCTACATTTTAAACAAAATAGAAATGTAAATATAAATGAGACTTACAACATTAATATAGCAGCAAACAACTACTTGCTATGTAAAGATATAATGGATTTTTTATTTTGCGAATCAACTGGTTAGTAAGGATGTATCCTTGTGTCCTTGTGATCTATGCACATTATTATATATTTTGTTGCTGTCTGTTTTAAATGAATTTATGATGTTAAAATGACATACAAGGTAAAATTACTGCATTTGTCTATGGAATCTGGTGGCGACTGATAGCGATATTAGGGCTGTTTCTGGTTAAACAAAAGGTCTATCTTTGTAGGGATCCTTCCATATTCTTGTCAGACACTTAGCCAGTCAGTGGCAACAGCAAGTGCTTTTAATAGACACATTTTGATGGGCAAATTTGTCCCCAAGGATTAGCTAACATTACGTAGCAGCCATTGCAGCCCAAAACCAGCGCTGGTGATTGTTGTAAAGACTAAGAAAGATGGTTTTGGTGAGTTTTATTTTGTTTCAGTCCAGTTTGAAGTGTGTTTTACAATTATGTAAAATTATAGTTTTTTTCAATGCAGGTTGCTGGTAGTGCCCATTGTTTGGTCTGAGATGCTGGTGCTGTAGTGCGACAATGAATTTCATAGATAACCTTTAAGAAATTAGAATTAATCTAATCCATTGCATTTACTCAAACACAGGTGTTTTGTTGACATGAATAACATTTTCATATTCTAGTTTTTGTCAGATGCAATAATATGCTGCAGAATAACTGTTGTCATGTGAATGTTTGGGTACCTGCTGATTTGGTACGCTGCAGGGCTTAGAGCTGAGGATAGAGGCTGGTAGTCTGACTTTAGTCTTCCTGGCCTTTCCAGTCACATCCACCTGGATTGACTTACACTGCCCAGATGAACCCTTCAGACTGCTTTCACCTAGCATGGACACATACGCACATAGATTATACATCCATTCAAGCAATTTAAAGTGCTCAATCCACCTTCAGACTATGCCCTCAAAATGTCCCTACAATATTCAGACAATTTCTGTAGTAACACATTATTGGTGCAGTCAAAACAACAGAGAAAGGTAGGGAACAAACCAGCAGTCTGAGGCGTGGGGTTGGTGGGTCTTTTTCCAAGCTTCCTGTCACTTCCTGCTGCATGACTAAGAGCAAAACAGCAGGAGGGGTCAAGCCATGTTGCAAAAGCAAAGTAAACATAATTTACACAAGCAATTTGTGAAATAAAAATCAAGTTATAGATGTTTTGTGATTCACTACAACCAAGTTAAAATTAAACAGAGGAAAAAAACTGCTCATAACATAGACTTCATTACCTCGCAGACTGAGAGGGTGTTGGGTTAAAGGGTCGTGGAGCTGCAAAACACAAACAAGGTACGTGTTCAGTAATGATTTTTATGCACTTTTACAGTTGCTTTAAAAAAATGTTTTTCAGTTCAATTAAGCCTCGGTTTCTCTGTACAGATTCCCAACAGGACAACCTTTAAAATGAGTTTCATCTCAGTAGCTTGTAGTAAACACTGACAGTATAATAACTTACTGTTCTCTAGTGGGGCATCTTTCAGGAAGGCCTCAGCACTGTCTGACTTAGGGATCGGAGGGAGATCCATGGAGAGACTCATCATGTCTGGTATTTGGTGCTGCAGCAGGTTCTGGTTTGTTTTTGGTGAATAATAATGTGTGTTTATATCTAAGGGTTTTATCATAATAATGATGACTCAAAAACACATTTAAATATATGTTCAAGTACTGAAAACATACAGTACCTGGTATAATGGAATATTTTCTGGGTGGAAAAACGGAACAATGTTCTTCTTCCTCAAAGCCTCTCTGCAAGCCTGCTCCTCATACATCTCTTGCCTGAGGTACACATGCATGAAGAGAAAATGATTGATGAGTTGATGGCTACTAGTGCAAATACAAGGGATACGTTTTGTCCAATATCTATTCTGCACCCTCTTTTTAGTCTTATGTTGCTGTAGATGCTGTAGTTTTGTCCCAAATAATTCCCTTTAAAAGGAGGAATCACAGCAGCAGCCATACAGACAATAATGGGCTAAAATCCATTTCCATAATTAACTAATTACACACATATCTTATTTACCTGTGCTGTGCAAGTCTTTCAGTCCATTTTGACTCCTTTCCATTAGCAAAACTGGATAGGAGAGTTGGTTTAAGAGGATATTAATGCAGTTTCAAACTTTTTAAAATTTTCTAATTTAAATACAGGTAACTGTCACTGTAGATCGCATTACAGCATACATTCATGCCATTTTAATCTCTCCAACCTGTTAGTAGCTACTGTGGCTGTGTCTTCTGAAAAATCTGACTGTTCATTCGGGGCTCCAACTCCTTGGCTGTACAGACTGACTATGTCCACTGTGGACACACACAGAGAGAATAAAAATAAGTGTACATTTGTTATGACCCCTTAACAGCAAACAAAAAAACTATCACATGCACTACTTAACTCAAGCTACTAAATATTCAACTTGAAATTACCAGAACCTCTGTCATCTCCACTTCAGTTTTACAAAATCTAAGTTGAGTATACATAGTTTTCCAACAATATCCTGTCAATAGTCTAATCCTGTCCTCGAATGCTGGTTTTGCTGATTAGTTTTAAGAAAAAAAATCAACTTATTCATGTAGAATCATACACAGTACAAAGTATACTGAAACTACCTCTGCATTTAACCTATCCTAAGTACTAGAAGCAGTGCACAGCTAGCACAGCGCCCAGGGACCAACTCCAGATCTGAGCCAGTGCCTTTGGTCAAGGGCACTGACTGGAGAGTTAACCTAACATACATGTTTTGATGATGGGGGAAACTGGAGTCCCCGGAGAAAACCCACGCAGCCAAAGAAGAGGAAAGGCCCTGCCCCAGCTGGGAACCCAGGAAACCCTTGCTGTGAGGCAACAGTGCTAACCACTGAGCCGCCGCTGCTTCACTTACTATAGGCAAAAAGTGACTGTAAACAATCCCACTGACTAATTAAAATGAATACTGACAAATTTAAAGGTATTACAATGAAAGAGGTATGCTTAATTAATTGCTTATGTCATTAGTGAATAATGGAAACCATAGTATTGCAAATGTAACTTCTATTTCACTGGACTTGCAACATTGTTCAAACACAGCCCACACACCTGAGGTCCTCTTGTCAAAGATGTGACCTGCATCCTCTTCTTCTGCAAAAGACTAGAAAATACATAATTAATAATTATTAATAAATACAATTATTAATACATATATATTGTGTACCATTTTTCTATCAATATTATTGATTTGTAGAATTTTGTCTTGGGTATTCTTCTATTTATGCATTGGGGAAAGATCCTGATGACACAGTACATGAATATACAGTACCTGTTGTGCATTATACTGTACATGCGTGTGTGTATGTGTGTGTGCTGACCAGGACTAGGTTGAGCAGATCACTGGCATGAGCACTCTCCTCCTCCGTGCGAGGGTTTTTAACTCTCATCTCCTCTGATCGCTGCTCCCTTTCCATCAAATTCTCAATGTATTCCTATAGTCAAAGCCACATTTCAAAATCTGTCACCATCCTGCAAAGGAAACATTTGTCTCCCACAGTTTTCAGGAAGTCTGGCATTTTCTACAGTTAGTGATGTTCTGCTTGAAGCTGACTACTCAAGACAGCATCGACCTTTCAAAGCAGAAGTATTGCAGCAATGTGTTTTTAATGCTTGGCTTCTCCATGCCCAAAATCATGTGATAACCCCAAATGAGGCTTTGTTATGGCACAATAATGAAAGCAGTAAAACCACTTATATTTCAGCGGTTAGTTGTGGCCTCAGATTCACGCCGAATTTACGCAAATGCAGGGGAGTGACCATTGCCTGCAAATGCACATGATCTGTCTTTGCTATTGGTTGAGGCTGCGACATTGCAGGTCAAAGTTGAACTCCTTGCGAAGAAAGGATGCAAATTTGCTCATGTCAGACCGCAGCTTAATCCATCTGTACAAATTCAATACCAATGGTTTGGCCAGCAGATGTCACAATTTTTTGGCTGAATCAAATGTTTCGAAACAGTGAACACATCAACACATTTGCTTAACAGTGACTCAGGGCTTCAGCTTCGTTTCTCCCATCACAAATTACAGCATATAATGGATAGATAATAGATAAGAGATAATAATCTTGGCAAAACTTTGATTGTTAGACATATGAGTCATATGACCACAGACATGGGTTTGTTTTACCTTCAGTTGTGTGTCTACACGATTTCTGAGTGCTGTGGTGAATGGTCGATGCTGGTACAGTTCCCTCATCTCTAGGACTTCAGGGCAGCTCCTGACAGGCTGACGCTGTGCTGCAGAGCCAGCAGACCTCTCTCTCACAGTCAAACCTCGTCCCAAGTCAGTACCCAGTGGAGGACCTGGCCTCTTTTTCTGGAATACAGAGAGAGACAGAGGGAGGATAAATGTCAGTGTCCGGACCTGAGTGTGTTGTTTGCATGAACAATATGTGTTACCTGTACCTCTGTTCTAGGAAAGTCATGCCAGCTGCGGTTTCTGAGGTTGGGAGGGGTGATGTCAGGGTTCTGTTTCCCTAGCAACCACTGGGACCACGCACTCTGGTGGCCGGGCTTTAGGATGGTAATGCCAAACTCATCTGAAACAAACACAAACCTCATGTTATTTACCAGAAATTGAAAGGTCTTCCCTTACCTTTATTCCTCTTTAGATAAATAATAGAATGAGTAAAGTGCACTCAACTCAAGAGTCATTAACAACATAATGGGAAAAAATTATGCTTTTAACTCCAACTTGGCTCGATCAAATAATAAAACTGGTTTAATCAACCTCTGAAATTCTATTTTATGAGCATAGATTTTTATTGATTTTAAAGATAGAGCACCTTGTGTGTCTGGCAATGGTTCCTTCAGCAGCGCTATGGTAGGGTCAGAGTACGCCTGGTAGAGCACTTCCTCTACTGTTTGAGAACTCAGTAATTCAGTACCAGAGCCATCCTCATGCACCAGAAACAGCCTGGAACACAAGCAGTACAGTACAATAGTGATGACTACATCAGAGTGGTCATTTTTCATAGCTAATTATCTGTAAATGTGTAGTAAGGTGCAGTTTGTGTGTATACAGGCCCACCTGGGACAATGTTCTCTGTGTTTTACATTAATCCTGGCCAGTTCTCTGTCCTCCTCCTCCCCTGGCTGTTCCTCATCCTGTTTCAGTGTGCTTGGAGCAGGGCTGAAGTTCAACACTGACAACTGTCCATCCTCCATCACCTGCAACACACACACACACACACACACACACACACACACACACACACACACACACACACACACACACACCCGCAGGTCAGAGAATCAACTTAGAGAGGCAAATCAACTTGTGTGGAAGATTAAGATTTTTTAAATGTTTTATTAAGAATCTTTTTCAAATGTACATAACAAGCGGTTTCAATATCTCCCTGGATTATACGAGGATCAGCTGTTATAATGGAGGTAGTGAAGCAAAAGGAGAAGCCCCAGCAATCAAATTTGCTGAAGTGAGTGCAAGCTTAAAGTCAGATTCAAGATGAATTCAAATATATTTTCAGTCTAGTTTAGTAAGTCTGTTGCTTTGGACACTCCACATACTGCTATGAAAGAGATGTTTCTTTGACCCTCGCCACAACGTTTGGGACACTTGCATGATGACACTAACCCATCTTCATATTACCCTGTAACTGACCTGGAAGTGGTTCCCATCAGGATCTGTAGTGTCACAGGCCACTTCGTCTGTGTGACTCATGGTGTAGCTTCCTGGTTGGTTTGTGGGAGTGCCACCCTTTGGACTGGGGGTTACAAGTGGGTCAGACGAGTACACACACTTTCCGTCACTTTGGATCTGCAGGAGCCCCACACTGGATGGGAACACCTTGGATGCACAAGCATACACACAAACAAACATGTAGATAAATGTGTATATATCTATGATTCGGTGTACAAAAGTCTAACTTTGGTGCCATCTGCTGGTCATATCAAGACTGACACTGTGGTAACAAAAACGTATTCCCGAATTGTTTGAAAGCTTCTATATTCACATAATAACTTGAAACATAAATGTGATATTTGCTGTAAACCACCCACCTGATAGGCGCCTTGGTTGTTCCCAGTGATGACAGTTCCATCGGCTAAAAAGATGTGAGCCGTGTGTCGGTCTGGGTACATCGCCACTGTGGCACAGCCCTCCTTCTCCACCAATACCACCCGCTCTTTGGCAGACACACTCCCCTTATCGCTCTCACATGCACTCCTCTTACCATTGTCAGCCATGGTATCTTCTGCAAGCACGCTCTCTTCAACATTTTTGTACACACTACTTCCTCTTTCATGCTCACACTCACTCAGCATTGTACATGTGTGTCCAGCATCCTCATTGTCACACAGTTTCCCTGCACTGTCCCTGCTTATCTCTTCTCCATTGTCAAATGTAGCCTGGATGTGCACATTCTCATCAACGCTGTCCACGCAGCGTGTGACACACACGCACTCCGTGCAGCTGCATGCACATTCAGAAGTTGATTTGAGGGTCACACTAACAGGGTGCTCCCCTGGAAAGTTAACAGACACAAGGATTTAGGTTAGTAAAAAATAACAACTTAAATCAAAGATTACATGCATGTTTGTGTGTGTTTATGTCTACATCAGTACATAGGAAGATCTGTGTTTACTACAGTATGTATGGACTATATACTAGTAACCTGTGTGCAGCAGTATGTTCTGTGGTGTGTCTGGTCGTCTGTCTTGGTAGAGACTGGTGATCCTGGTTCCGTCTGCATGTTCGACACTTAGAGATCCGTCTGGATTCTGGACAGAAACTACCAGATCCTCCCGGCTCAGCATCACCTGAGACAACCACATATACCAAGCTAAAGAGGTTACAACCAGCAATACATATTGCCATTTTTCATTAAATTAATTATGAAACATGAAAAAACTGACACTACAGTGAAGAGAACTAGAAACCTGTGTATCATCAGGAGTAATACTGCACTCTTACCTCATTGGTGATGGGGTCTGTAGCCTTAAAGGCGAGAAGAGGCGGGGTGGGTATATGCCTGTGTGTGGTCCCCACAGTGTAGATGCGAGCTCCAGATGGAGTCGTAGTTAACCAACACCCTCTTTGAGCATCAGCCTCCTTCTCTGAGCTGTGCTCTGTATATACACAAACAAAACATACAAAGACAGTATGACACCGTGTGTCATTCAAAGTGATTACTTCCCTCCCAGCTGAGGGCCAGTCATGTTCATTAGAAGATGGAAGGAACACTGTTTTGCACACAGTGGTGCTGCGCTCTAACCTTTCTGCTTGTCCTCAGTTTCTTGAGAGGGGTTTTCCTCCTCAACCTCAGAGTCAGGAACCCACACTGGACCAGAATCCTGACTGAAACTGACTGAGCCGTCAGCAAACAGAACCTGCAGTGCACATGTGATTTTTGAGTAAGACGTCTTGATGGTTCAGCTCTGCCTGTACAACAAATCTGTGGTACATTTGTTGGCATGCATGGCTCTATATATGAATATGTATTCACAGTATGTTTACCTCTGTGGAGCCGTCTCTCATGCATCTGATCACCGCTCCCTGGCTAGTGACAATGCGGGACAGTTCTTTGGAGAGGGAGGGGTCCTGAACTTGCCCTACAACTGCCGTGCCATGAAGAGGAAAGCCCTGTTTCACCAACATGCCCTGCTCTTCTGAGGACACTCCTGGACACACAAATTATGCAATTAATATTTGATGAATATATGTACAGAGTCATAGATTGGAATTTAATAGTTATGGAAAATATGCAAAAATTGTATATAGGGCACATCAAACATTGTGACACAAGGATCCTCTTCTGCCAGCGTGTGAGGAGGTAAATTTGAGAGTGGAAGATGAACAGATGAGTGTCTAAGGGGTGATGTGACAGTTTATTGTGTGTATTGTGTGTTACTTGTATTGCTCTGCTTATGATTTCTCTGATGTATCACAGTCATTCCAGGGATGCAATTTAGTGACTGAAGCTTCAGTAAAATTACACTTAGGATACACGCACACGCACCCCCACACACACACGCACATCTGTGTATGAGTGTGTATTTACATTCCCAAGAAAGGGCATCACTGACCTTGTATTTCCTCTCGCAGAAATTGCAGAAGTAGGCCATTAGGAACAGACAGATTGAGGCTGTTGAATGGACTTGATGGCAATGCTGGGTGGCCATCACACACCTTAGACTACACACAATCATACACAATAATGAACAAGTGCATAGCGATACACTAATAACTAACTGAATGTACTACCAGGAGTATTCAACTGGTTATGAAACAGTCTCAATTTAATACCGATGCCTCTGTATGACCTACATAAACAAACAAGACCCTGATGGTTATGTTTTTATTGTTATTCCTCAATGAATCAGATAAAAGAAACACTATGGCTTTTGTCAACAGGGGCCACCAGAATCATCACAAAATTAAAGTTCCTTATAGATGCTTTGACATCACAATAAGTAGCCTAAGCTCAAAACTATAGAGACTATATTTTACAATACTTTGAGAGCAATTTAAAAAAATACTTTTATTGAAATGTTTATCCTTCAATCATCCTTTTTTATGTACATATGTATTATTTTGTGCATCTAAGTGCATATGTGGAACCTGGGACTCTGGAGGTCTGGTGTGGCTGGATGGGCTGTGTGTCTTGGAGGGAACTGAATCCAGGTCTGTCCCCTTGGAGCGGTGGGTGGAGGACGAGAGAGAGATAGGGACAAAGGTGGAGGTTTCTGGGGCCCCTTCCTCTGTTTCCTGGGGACTCACTAGACATTCACCAAACAAGAACCCAGTTAATACTGCCCGCACTGTGAAGAAATTTGAACCTTGTCTGAAGGGCAAACATATTCATAAGACTTTTTGGAGCACTGAGATAATGTGCGAGTCTATAAGCATATTCAGCCTGTTTTCAGAAAAGACAAATTAAAACTTAACAAAGAATGAAAATTATATGTGTTTCAAGTGTAGCACCTATGTATTCTCCTGTAGGACCATAGAAACTGTATGAGAGGTGGATTCCATTGTCTAACACCGCTGAGAAGGAGCCCTCCTTCACTATTTTCATTGCCACAGGCTCTGACACTGAAACAGAGAAAGACAAACACGCACAGACACAGAAACACTCACAGGTCATCTTGGTTTGTTCAAAAGTGTTATCTACTAAATTATCTTCCAATTTTGCAGGGATGGATAATAGGATCAATTCTACATTTACATAACAGGCACTCTGTACTCTGCATAATGTGTGTAGTATGATGAGCATCTTCACCTTTAAAATCTTCTTTTGTGCCATTTATTTCTTTGTCTTCGGAATGAGGGGCAGGAACTGCTGGCTCAACAACAGTTTGGTTGATGTGTGTGTAGAAATGATGCCCATCCTTTCTCACAGACACTTTCATCAGGCTGGAACCTTGAGTAAAAACAGCAAAATTGTATGGTTTCATTTGGAAAATCACCTGTCACCACCACTAGGTATCACCTCACTTACAATGACCGACTTTCCAAATTACGTAGCACAGCAAATAAATGTTATAAATGTTATGTTGTATTTCTTCACGAGGAGAATGCTTTCCTACATCCTATATAAGGATGCTGAAGGAGAGAAAGCTGTTATAATGTAGAGTTCTGTAGTGATCTCAGGGCATGTAGGCAATCTGTGGGCTTGGTTTTGTGTGGATGTAAGCACCTTTGTTGTGCCTCAGAAGCACATGCAGATGTGGATTATTTTCCACAACCTCATATTTGTCTCAGTACCTTCAACAAAGCTGACATTCTCCACAGTGATGTGTCCTCCATCTGAAGGGAAAAGGTACTGGAGACGACCTGACACATGGATCAACTTTCCATCCATGCTGTAGCCTGTGAAACCCTACACATCACACAGTGATTACAGTGATTGTACTTGTATTACAAGTATTATTTATAAGCAGACAAAACTTATAATCTATGTTTGTTTTCTAAAACATAAATTCAGTTAGCTACTAGTTTTGTGTGTGTGCCTCACATTGGATGGTTCTTCTGCTGGAGGCAGTTCTTTGTTTTCCTCCACAGGGGGCGCTGTGGTACTAATGGACTCTGTGGGAGTCTTGGCTGAGCTTCCTGCTGTCTCTGCTCTGCTCTTCTTGCTACTTTTCTTGTTGTCCTTCGAGTTAGGCTCCTCCTTCTGCTGCTTGCCTTTCGGTGTATTCTCCTTCTTTGATTTCTTGGCCATCTCCTCCTCCTTGAGCTGCTCCTGTTCCAATTTCCAGGCCTGTAGAAGAAGAAGTTCAAGGAACTACATGGCAGTGACTAGGTTTGAGAAACTTTAGAGGAGGTTACATTTAAAACTAGCGGTGCAATTCTTTGGAATAAAAAAGTACATATTCTTTTTTGGATTCCTGAATTGATTCAATGAAATCTACAAAATGGCACTAATATTTAATAACAATAGATAATAATATCTGGTGCTTTTTTCATTTTGTTGAGCTTTAAGTTATTATCAATATTGCCCATTTCTGCAGTGAAAACACTGTGGCGTCATTGTACTTTAACTGCCATAGATGTTATTATTATGTACTGTATGTTTTTGGAAATTGAAAGGATGATTACACGTTGCATTTATTTAGTAGTTTGCTGTTAAGTAAGTCCTGATTGGGCATGATATTCTGTACAATATGCATGTCAATCTACACAGCTGTGTGATCAAGTTAATTTTTTTTAAAATTTTCTACTAAGGGTTCAAAGAGTTACTGTAACTCTGCTGAGAAGCTACTGAGAAAGTGAATGTTCATGTGTTAGTTGGTACTGACTTTAAGGGAGTCTTTTCTGATGACTGGCTCCAGAGTGTCCTCCTCCTCTGCAGAATCTGTAGCCCTTCCATCTAGTCCAGGAACAAAGAACACATTGTCTTTGTATGGTGGTTAGTATCGTCTCATTGCAAGAGCCTTTAGTTCGACAAGCTACAGTACCTTTTGGAGACTCAGCAGGCCTGAGATTTCTGAGTAGCATTGCCTCTCTCTTTAATTCCTCCTCTTTTGTCCAATCTGAAATTATATCTGCCACATTCTCCAGGTACTTCCTATCAAAAAGATATGGATTTTTAAGTCTGTGTAACACTCCACTCCCTCTTACATAGAAAAAGACATATTACTATTCATGTCCTGTAAGAGGAAAACACCTGACAATAAGAACTTGCACTCTGACCTGAACTTGACATCAGTGTGAAGGGCTACATCCCAGAACTCCTTGCACTGGCGATAAGGGCTCATTGGATTGTGACAGAAAATGTACAGGATGTTGTTATGACTTCCTCTGAAGGTGTCCAAGCAGCGATATTCTTCTGAGGCTAACTGGAGTACCTACATATAAGGAAAAAGATAAAATTGAATTGTCCATAAGATTGTCATGGTCTTTTATCAGTACAGCACGTTTAAAAAGTTGTTTAAAAAATGAACATGTTGCTGCAGTGTGTAACCTTAAGTGTGTGTTCTATAATTGAGTCCTGCACTTCACATTAAATGCTAAGTTATCTTTGCACCGAAGCTATTAATGTGAAAAGCAGCAGGAGCTGAGTGAAGCAACAGCAGTATGTCTAATCTGATCACTGTGGTGGTGGTTTAGCATAAATTAGATTAGTTTCGATTAGGCTTCAACACAATTACCATATTCAACAACAGACAGCAGGTACAACTGTTACCTCATGCTGACACAGATATACCCCCCAGAAAGACAAGATAAGACGGGTCACCTGTGGGAAGATAGAGGCACTGTGGTGTTCAGCATAGTGCCAGTCAAACAGAGATCTCAGCCTACAACTCTGAATGTCAGATAAGTCCAGCTGGCAACACACTCCCCCACTGATCCGCTGGAGAAAAAAAACAACAGGCAACATTATTGGAAGGAAAAAACAAAACAAGAACAAAAGCTTGATATTCTTTTATCATAGCAGCTACAGTAATGAGAACAAAGAAACAATACCTCTGTGTTATCGGGATCTTCAGTGAGAAACGTCGAACCTAGTGTTGAAATAAGTTATGAGGTATGGCACTGAAATATGTACAGTTGAGAGATGTTAAGGCAATAAATTCAGCTGTACCTTGTAATATAATGCATGTAAGCTAATGTCACAACATCACAGTAACTGAATTAACCATAGTAGTGACAGACCTTTAGTACGTAGGTTATTAAGCTGCTGTTTAGCGTAGGATAGTGGGTTGTCCCAGGGGATTATTGTGGATGTCTGTTGCTGTGCTGGTTCCAGTGTTCCCAGTGGTCCAGGAGCATTCACTAGCACACCCTTTTGGTCCAGCCTGGTCAGTGGCATACTCTCAAACACACTCTGATGAAATAAACGCTCCACTTCCAGCCATGACACAACATCTGTGGGATATCATAACATCAACAAAGCATAGACCAACACTTGTTATTATATGTAATTGTCTATTTGGATTAATACAGTCGAAGTTGCCAAACTCTGAGAAAGTGCTACAAGTACGACAGCCATGTATATACTGCACTAAAGTGGATGCATCTGACAGGTAACTGACAGGTTTCTGACCGTCAGTGCAATAGTGTTGTAGCTGCTGTTTAATTGCCATCCAGCAGGAGTCATTGTGTCTCTGCTGAGCTACAGAGTGGATCAGCTCCCACACTGGAGACTGCCTCATCATGGACAACTCCACCTCTGCTGGATCAAAACCCTGAGCCGCCTGAGAGGGACACACATAAAACACACAGTATATGAACATATTTCTGGTCTAAAGATAAAAATAAGGAGTGGAGCCAAGATTACACAAACTATACAGCCTATTCATTGGCCTCATTTAAATTCCACAAGGACAATAAAAAAGAATCAATTATACACAGTTGCAAGCATAAAAAAAAAATCGACTTGCTCTGATATCCCTCAAGCGCAGTGCCCTCTCATCATGGTGTCTGATAACCAGCGGGTGCTCAGACTTCTTCCTAGTCTCCTCTGTTCCAAATGTCTCCAATAACTTCTAACACAGGACACAACATTTAATAAAACAGAGATAAATGAGTGAATAATTGCATTCTGTGTAGAGTGTTTCTTCCAATATAAAGGAGAAAAAATTCACATACATTATACCTGGCTTTGGAGACCAGAGACATGTAAAAGAAGGAAAATATATAATCCCAGTGTTTCAGTCTATAAAATGATAAGTTTTATGTTTTAATGTTTGTAGCACTTTACTGCACAGTAGGCACCCACTGTTTGGGTGAATGGTAACTACAATCTACTTTGACTATAGCACCCTCTGCTGGACATATATAGCATTTATTTATGGCTCAGCTATGCTCTACAGTAAATGTAAGTTTCAGTGTGTTATGGGTCTTATATACAGTCATTTCAAGTATTTTTGTTTAGTAACCCTAAAATATAAACTAGTAAAATAACTAGTAAACAACTTGTTAAAATATAAAAACAGCAACAGGAAGAGCAGACTGATTTCCCCACATGCCTTCTCTCTGCTCAAGAAAGCGAGTACGCCAACCTTCCCCCGCCACGACACATCTACGCCCACCCTCCTCCACATGTGCTGCAGCGACACCACTCAACATGACACTAGAGCTGTCGGGGATCGGCTATTGTGCTCCAAACGCCTGCAAACGGCTCTGCCTACAGACATACAAGCCCCTTAATTCCTCCCTGAGCAGCAGAGATACCCCCCCCCCGCACCTAAATGAACAGTAAAAAAGGATTTGCTGCATTGGCCGGGAATCGAACCCGGGCCTCCCGCGTGGCAGGCGAGAATTCTACCACTGAACCACCAATGCTGCATGTGCAAACATATATGTCATTGAAATTTTTGTAACTCCTGTGAATTGGAAATGTAGGTATACGTGTTCTGTTGTATGGCCACTATACCTTCTTGTCCTCTTCATTCTGGGCTGTAGAAAGCAAACTGTTTAACATGTGGCTTCTCTCCTCTTTTGTGTGTATCAGAGGCAGGAAGCTTTGGAGCATGAAGCTGATCAGCTCATGATCTAACCCAGGACCAGGTTTGGGCTCCTCAGCCACATGGGACGGGGTGGACAAAGCCTGTTCTGTTGAAATCACCACCTAAATACACAAATGCACACATACCGTATGAGGAAAATGGAAGGCCATACTATGCAGGTTTACAAATCTTAAATGCAAATGTACAAATCCCTAAACACAGTGTAAAAAGTACACATTTCTAGTGTGCTTCTCAATCCATTAGTGAGTCATTATTCTAGCTGCAAAAACACTTATCTGCTGACTATCCAAACCTTCCAAATCTTGGTCTTGCCACACACGTACACTCGCAATACGCACACAGACCTGTTCCAGCATACAGTGCAAGATTAGTGGCACAGAGCAGGCTTCAGGGGGAACTAGGTCGAGCAGGTTGCTATAGTAACGCATGTCCACATTGGTAGAGAAAGGAGGCTGCTCCGTCTCTGTCCACAAAGAACAGAGGGTAGAGAAGAAAGAAGGTTGTCATGCTAGTCTGATTTTTTATTCGAAACATACACACACAAAGGAAACGCGAAGTAAACATGAGGGAGGACTATTAAAGAGAAAGGTTTCACCTTGGTTTGGAGGGTTTTCTTCACGCACTGACTTCTTCTTGGAGCGTGGAGTCATGGGGACAGGGGTCAGCACAACCTCGAACATAAAAAACACACAAAAAATACTGAATATTTAATAGGCCAAACAATTAGTCTGCACTGTGAAAGTTACAATGAACAATACCAGGCAGGCTCTGAACACTTTCATGGTTCCCTGATTTCACTTCACACAAATGCTGCCAACACTGTCTAAAGAAAATTAAGTTAAAAGGATTATAGTGTCAATGTTACTACCTACATTAATGGCCAAGGAACTAAGCCAGAAAATAGAGGCCTGACTCAGATTGTGCCTGTGCAGCAGAGTGGCGCAGCGGAAGCGTGCTGGGCCCATAACCCAGAGGTCGATGGATCGAAACCATCCTCTGCTATCACAATGCTTTTACAAGGAGACTGAATGTCTTTGAGTTTTGGACTATTTGACAATACAAGACATTTAAAGGTGTGGGAAACTTTATGATGGTTTATGAACAAAACAATAAGTCTATTTATTGAGAAAATAACCAGCAGATGAATCAATATGAAATATCCACAGTGGGGAGATTTGCAGTGTTACGGCAGCAAAGGGGATAGCAAAAGTCATCAGTAAAAAAGCAAGATATAATAAATATAATAAACAAGTAAACAAACTCAACAGGTGAATTCACATTATTGCACAAGGAAATATTGTGTGATCCACTGGGAGAACATTGATTGTAAAGTCTGACAGCAGCAGGAAGGAAGGACCTGCGTTAGCTCTCCACCACACAACGTGGGTGAAAACTAATCATCAGATGCAGCTATATTGTGCAGTTATACTGACAAGCACGCATGTGTATGTATATTCACCTCTGAAGACTGTGGGTCTGACCCAACAGCAGTGGGTACATTGATGAGTCTGATGTTGTCCAGGTAGTGCTGATGTTGCCTGCGCCAGTCCAGGCAGTCATAGATGAGATTGGCCACACCATCAAATATATGGATTCCCATCTCCACCTGGACACACAAAATTAAGACTCAAACTCAACTCACGGGCAATGTGAAACTGAATTAGTAACAAAAAAAATAATCTACAATATTCTATACAAGAAAATCAGCAATGAGGATAAGTCTATGAAACACATATCTGTCAGGTTCAACTTACCTCAGCCTCAGGCTCCTGTGGGTGGAAGGGAGACGAGAGATCTGGGACAGTGTAGCTGAGCTGAACCACATCATGGAGGTTGGACTGCATTGGCCCGTTGTCCAAAACTCCTCTAAGCCCTGACCAGAATACATCCAACTTCTTGGCCTGCACAGCCAGCTCTTCACTACCATCCTCTGCTTCTGGCACACACAGAGGAAATGATGATGTAACAGCATACAATAAATAAATATAAAAAATAAGGGTATATTGATGAGTTTAAATCCTGCTTAAATACTGAAGGCCCTTTACCTGCATCAAAAACTGGAGACACTCTCTGACTCTGCTCACTCCTCTTACTGGTGTCAGATGTTTGTGTGTGCTCCGAACACAACTTGATGACATTGGCTACATGCACTCCTATGGCATCAAGAGCCCCAATCAGGTGGGGCTGGTAGAAGCCCAGCACCAGGATATAGAGTTGAGGGCCATCCTCTGGTTCATCATCTGTGCCCAAAAACACATAACACACGCAGTGAATTAACTTCTCTCTCTTTCTTTCTTGTACACAAGTAGATACACGCTACCATTAATGCACATTTCTTACCTATAAAGGTTGGTGGCTCAACATCCTCCCGGCGTTTGAGCTTGGTCTTCTTCTCCTTGGCCATTGCCACAGGTGAGGGCGGACTCTTCCCCTTTTTGTCCTTGGCCCCTCCTTTGTCCTTGTTGACAGAAGGAGGACCGGCCTTTGCCTTCTCCTCCTCAGCCTTAAACAGATGTGGACAAAAATTGCACAAAAACAAGTTTTTGGCCACTTATTCCTTAAAAGCAAAAATGGTCATGACTGTAACAAAACTTCAACTGGAACCTGCGTGAAAATCTACTCTAGTTCAACACTGTTACTAAGTTATAATAATCAACATAGAATCACATATATGAAGAAACACTCACCTTCTCGTCCTCCCTCCTCTGCTGATCATTGGCTTTAATCTGAAGCAGCTGAAACTTCAGTATTTTTGCCATCAGGTCACAGGGAATCTCCTCTCCTGCATCCAGCAGCGCTTTAGCAGGCTCTGTAACCTACATAAGACACAAACACACACACATACAAAGAATAAAGCACTGGAACACACAGTGTTTCTTTTAGACAATCAGAAGACACTAGTACAGTGACACGGCATATCAGAAACACTCATTCTCTACTGTAATGTATCAATTTACTCATCCTAAACATACCTCATAAAAGGTGGGGATATCGTCAGGTTTCTTTGCTTTAGGATTCCCCAGTTCATGGATCTGTAAGACAGACAGGAAATCGTTTTCATTTGACACAGTCAATGTTTGACACAAGGTATTAGAGTTACACCACTGTTACAGACTAAACAATGACAAAAAAAGAATTTGAAGAAAACTAATACCTTTGCAAGGGTGCCGTCCAAGGTCAACAAGGTGAAAAACCTGCGTAATGGTTGCTGTGCAGCCAAAGCCAAAGCCCTGATCAGTTCCTCATCCTCTGGACTTCTCCCAACCACAAAAGACACACAGGCCTGCCATGAATCCTGGAATAGGCGTTGTAATACCAGGATTATACACACTAATACACGAACATCGACCAGGTCAACAACCACAAATTACACTGATTGATAGAGGTTAACTTTTTTTTTTTTTTTTTTACATCATGCTTCTCTGTATTTCCTTTACAGCTAATTGACAGGTGGATTTAAGCGGACTGAACAAAAGCTTCAGGGACGCCGTACATCACATGACTTCAACTGATTAAAGAAAGTTAAACGTTACTCACAGAAACACTGTTAAATTGTACAGAAATACCCACACACCACAGTACAAATCCAAGTTTAACTGGTGTGTTAAGATACCCTCAGCAACGACAATTAACTACTACTTCCTGTTTGGATGTCTCCTTCAAAATAAAAGCTCAAAGGCTTGCTGTTCCAATTATTTTGTTCACAAGATTAACAAATGAAAGGTTGTTAACGTGAAATTGGCTCAGAGAAGAACACCCTACATTTCTTCTAACGTTAGGCAATCTGAAATGAAGAGTAGAAATCTCACGCACACGCACGTAACATTAAACACTGTAAATTAACGTAAGATAGCTAACGTTAACGTTAACCGCTAGCTACACCGACAACCTGTAAAACTATCACGTGTAGTCAGTTGTTAAGAACTACAAAATGTCCCGTTGTGTGTTAGAAGAGAGATGTTAAAGACACACGAAATAATTTAAACCAGTGAGATAACAAACCTCTTCAAACTGTGCTCTGGTGAGACCAGCCTCCCAGTTCTTGTTGACAACTGCGGCTCCAGCTGCACTGGGCTTTTTAGCAGAGCCCTTTTTAGCTGCCTTTGGTGGCATTTCCACTCAGACTATTTATCGTACATTAAAAAAAAAACAGTTTTAAAGTTATCAGGGCTTAACTCAAATACAACTGCAAAATTGTGACTTTGTCCGCCAGCGTCGCCTGGTGCTTGTGTTGCCCCTAGCAACCAACAGCAGGGACACCAAAGTCAAATAAATGACTCTTCCTGTAAACTTTCAGAACAAAAGCATGAAGGAGCACACATTTCAGTTTCAATATGTTTGACTAAAGTAATCAAAATTAGAATAATAAAAAAGTAATCAGTCTGTAGTAAAAAAGTAAAAGTTTCCGTTTTTGGTACAGAATATACCTTATCAACCATAAACTGTCTGTTTAAATGGAAATCAATGTTTGTAAGTTGTATTGTTGTAATTCCTTTTGTCCACTAGATGGCAGTGGTATCTTTGGGCTGTGAGACTGTGAAAACCTCCTAAACCAAAGCATTAATCTCCAAATAACTGTATGTTATTTAACATTTCCCATAAATTGTAACTACTGTCTATCATTATAATAGTATATAGAGGAAGTAATCCATAATTTGTAACCATCTGGCAAACAAAAATGTATCAAAGATTCCAACATACATACACATACACATAAACTCCTCTTTAAAAGTTTATTAAGAAGTTATAAGCATGAATTCTACTGCACTGACTTGAGCCACAAAACTGAAACTGACATTATGAAATACAGCTGGTTTGATTTCAGTGCCAGTATCAGTGAAAAAACGATTTAGAGCATCCTGAGAATCACTGGAACATTAGTGTCATTTCATCTGTCTATGATTGATGAAACCATTGTTCCACCAGATGAGCCAAGTAACAAGAGATGGGTTGAATTATAGCAACACCATTAAGAAGAGTGTCTGATATACTTTGATATCTACTGTATGAATCTTGATTACAATCTAAATCTATTTTCAAACATCATAATATTGATAACTTTATTCATATATAACACCTTTCATAAAAATGTAGGGAATATGGCACAGGAGATTTAACCTTGACCACGGTTTATTTAAATAAACTGAGATTTTGAATGTTAATTACATGAATACTGATGTGAAATGAATATAGAGATACTGTATTAAATTAATGATAATGAAGAGTGAAGTGTGGAAGAGGTCGTGACCACTCCTACACACTCCCAAGCAACAATTAAATGAACAACAACATATGTTAATATTGATAATTTCCATTCTTGTATTATAAGGTCTGCAATTACAATCCAGGGTTTTGAAAAAGAAAATTTAAAATTGCTGTTTCAAGTAAACTTGGAAGTTGGTAATTTTTGTAAAAACAAATGATGCCTGTTCTATTTGTGCCCTGTTTGCATTCAATATATTTCATATGATTTCAAATCTAACAAAAACTAAAAACAAGTTGTTCAGGGGAAGTTAGGGACTGAATCATGGTTAAGAAAGAAAGAAAGAAAAACATGGTCAATGATCTAAAGCATTTCCTGTTTACTGTTTACTTTTAAATTTCTGTGCAACCCAGCTCAAGCTTCAAGAGAAATCATCAGAAAGATTGACACCAGAGATGCACTTTTAACCATCCCTAAGGACCAAACTGGCTGTTTATTTTACATTTTCCTGAGGAATTTGTCTTGGCACATACCCTTCAGTCTTTATCCAATACATTCCCTTTGCATGATAGAAGCCTATTTGGAAGCTGCACAGTGTCAGTGAGGTTTATCTGAGCAAGAAGAATTTTGTGTTAAAAATGAATGACTTAATAAAGTACAATAGACCTCTGTTAACAATGACTCACTGAACTGATGGAACAATGTTGCTTTATTCATCAGTGATTATTATAAAGAATCTCATGCACCACATCTCTGCACCAAAGTCATAGTTTAGCACCTTTCAATCCCATTGGTGCAGTTTTATAATGCAAAGGGCCATTGTCATGAAGGTGACTTCACTTAGCCAACAACCTACTTCCAGCAGCTCCCTAGAAAAGGTCAAAAGTGAGACAACGCCCACTTGTCAGATGCCCGACAAATCCATGGTTGAAGCCAGCAGCGCATTAGTTATGGAGGAGTTGTCACCTCCAAACCTTCCAGAGGCAGCGTCCTTCAAAGGTCACACACCGGCCAGATAAACAGTGTAGTGGCACTTAAATAACACTCCACCCACGCTGCTGTGAATAGCATAGCAACATCTCAAAATATCTGTATTTTTTTAGGGAATACACCGCTGTCAGACATGTGCATCACATGTCTGTTGGCGCCATTTTGTTTCTTTTAAAAGCAGTCGTAATAGTTTATTTAAGAACTTCATCCGCTTGCTACTTAGTTACACAAAATAATGTCTCTTACTCAAGTAATATAATACATAGCCAATAAAATGAATAATAAAATAAGACACCAAGACACATCTTGGGAAGGCACTGCCTGTACTTTACCCTGTGTTACACACAGGACCTGGAGGTATCTATGACCACATGAAGCGATCAACTTTAAATCATGTGCGCACAAATGCTGTAATTAGATGACAGTCTGGTTCTTTCAACTATCAAGTTGATCAACAGTTCATAAAACATCATGTGAAATGATGAAATAACTGTTAAGGGCAAGAGCCTGGCTGGGGCTATTTCTTTGTATTGCATTACATCATGCAGGTGTTTTTATTTTTCAGGTTATTAGTGGTGACATGCTTGGAGAGTATGCTAGCAGAGTGAGAACATTTCATGTCAGACATTTGATAGTATGGACCAAGGCTCATATATTTTTTCCTAGAAATCATGTTTTTCTGTCCCCCAACTGTGTGCTAAGCACTGAGCGGTATAACATTAATGATGTTTTTTACAAGTCTAAGCAGACTAGAGTCATGCTAGCTGCCCTGTAAGGCCATACTTAGGTACACATAGGTGCTTTAAGGTAAATGCTAACATACTCACAATGACAAATGCAAATGTTGGTATTTAAGCAGCAACTATATTTACCATGTTCGGATGATCTTACTTTAGTGTTTAAGCATGCTAACACTTAAATTAAAGTTAAAGTTGAATTAAATTCTACATTATCTTACATTTTGCTTGTTTTCCTGTGTTGGATTAAATGATTCACTATGGGCTCCGTCCCTCAGCCTGTCACACTGCACTCTGTGCTTAGGTGTTTAAAGTGCTGCTTGGCAATGCAAAATAGATTTAAAATTCCACTCACCAACATTGCATCTTGCCATCTCCAATGGCAGCGAGAGGCCTGTGTTTGAAAGATTTGAATTTCAATACCCCCCAAAAAATCATGTGATGCAACGTCAGTGAAGAGCAAACAGCAAGCTCATGTTTACCAACCCCACCATTTCAGGAGTCCAACTTTCTCTGGAGTCTTCATTCTCTGCTGTTTGGGAGTCAGTGTGTTTGGATTTGTCACAGTGGCTCATGTATAGTGACATTTCTGTCAGCCTTTTTTGTTTTCAGGTGTGAAATGAGCATTATAGTCTCACAGGGCAGCTGGTAGCAACACGCTCAGTCCCTGTTGGCTACCTGCTGCCAAACGGGAATATTGAATGGGTAAACAAGGATCTATTTCTGAATCTATTTATATTTGTTCTACTTTTTATAGATATAGTATAGTACTGTATATTTTAAAGATACAAAAACAACCAAGTCTGATAAGATTTGCTGAGCATATCTTGAAAATAACAACAACAACAAAAAAAACATAATGGAAAGCAAGAAAAAAAAGTTTATTGTTTACATATATTATGTATAAACAGTTGGAACAGATAAACATTTCTGGATCATAAAACAACCCCAATCCCAGTGTGACATGCGTGCACCCTTATCTAAGTTCATCAGATTTCCATCTTCCCAGAAAGAGGTTCTTCTGTGAGTCAAAGGAAACATGGAATCAAGCCCTGCCAAGAGTCGGGAACAAACAGGCCTATCCAGTGACTTGGACGGCCCATGGGGATGAAGAGGATACTCAAAGGTGATAAACATCTGTATGTGCTATGTAGGCAGTGTGGATGTGTGATCAATCTGATCAGACTCTGCAGCTGTGGCAGGGTAATGTTGACCATTTCACAACATGGTACTGTCACTGAAACCTGTGTGGGTTGAGATGAATCATGTCAACACTGAGAATCTCAAGGGCCACCAATGGATTCATGGGCTTCGGTGAATGAGCTGCCAAGCCAGTACAGTGCAGCTCAAGGCCTTCAGTACTTTTCCATGAGGTGTGTCCCTCGGTAGGAGCATTTGCTGCCTCTGCCTTTCTTTGGACATACAACGTGAACCGAGGAAGTAGTATACTCTAAATGTCACATTTCAGAAGGGACAAAGATCCTCATTATGCTTGGTAAACTGATAAAATTCAGCAATTGATAGAAGGCTTAACTTAGCATAGCTGTCAACCTACACCAATTTTTCTCATTTGGCTGCAGATATATTAGTATACTGGCCTTATTGTTTTGGAAAATGCAGTTATTTGCTTTCTAGCCAAGAGTTAAATGAGAATATTGATACCACTTTTATGTCTCTGCAACAAATATAATGGTAAAGCCAGTTTAGTATTTAAATTAAAAAGAAGGACAAACAGCTACCCTGCTGTGCAAAGGTAATAAAAATCCACAGGGATATTTACAACTCACAGTTAACATGTATATTTGTTTAATGCATACAAAAAGACAAGTCAAGGTTTTATGGAGGGTTATGTGCTGGATTACTTCATTGGAGCTTGGCTAATGACTTTCTGGAGCTAGTTTGCCCCACAGATGCTTGAGCTAACAACCAACAAGAGTGGTATTCATCTTCTAATTTAACCCTGCCAACAAAGTGAACAAAAACTATTTCTATTTTTATATTTTTTTATATGTAGACAGTCACTTCATGATTCAACATTTGGGTATGATTTAACTTAAAGTATATAAAGAATAATCATATAGGTAACACTCTTATCAGTAGTATAGTAGTATATTTACCAGTAAATCGCCAAAGACAGAGTTTTATAATTTTATGGGCTCAACAATGTCAACTTGTATTGCTGACCCACATTAGCACAGCAGGGGAGAGGGATCAGGCGTGTGACACCAAGTAAATGATCACTGGTGCTTTGTCCCCTCACAATGACAGTGATGCATCTTGCACAAGATCATGTGCTTCTGCCATTAACCTACTGTAACCACG